GGGTGACCGTTGGGACTCAACGAACCCCACATCAGGTGCCTCTGTCAACCTCTCCACCACCTCCTCTTCCTCTTCTTTCTCTTCTCCTTCCTATTCCTCTTCTTCTGCCGCAGGTTCATCTGTCTGAACTGCGTTGTGACAGACGCTTCTCTCACGACTACTGCGGAAACCTACAAGTGATTGGTATGGCGGAGTGAGGAGGCCAGCACTTACATTCAAACACGAGGGATGAGAAATTGATTAGAGTCCGGACCGTAGAGAGTTAGTGCGCCTGAAATCCACCATAATAGTCAAACAAAAGGAGTGCGATATATGCGAGCAAGAAGTAGAGCAAGTGATGAAGGAAGTTGGTCTCAGCGATCATCGTAGACATTGTCGGTGAATCGCGGAAAACTGAGTTGGCTGATCGATTGGTGGCATCGATTGCGTCAGCGTTTGAAAGGCAGCTGTCAGCGACGATCACGAGATTGCGCGCGAAAGGCACGCAGCTGTGGATGCTGCTGCTGCTTGAAAACAACAGTTGTAGTGAGATGAGTGAATGCATGGATGGATGGGCGAGTGTTCAATGCTTGCATATGATGGGGTGGATGAGAGGAAAGAAGAGAGTAGACACGTTGAAGTCGATGTGCGAGGCTTGCCTAGATGATAAATCAACGTTAGGAGAAGGAATAAAGGAGGGGAAGAGTGGAGGGAGGTCGGAAGGGATTAATGGAGCAGCACCTCCGTGCACAAGGCGTCGTAGGTGTAGAGGGAGAAGGGCAATAGGAGGAGGAGGAGGAATTATATCGTGAACGAAGAGGGGGCAGAGACAATAAACTAAGGATAATGTAGGCAAGGGAAGGAGGAAGGAGATTTCGCAGGAGAAAAGGTGCTGGTATTAGTGATGTGGTATTCGTGGGGTGACAGAAAGGTTATAAATGGGGTTGAGTGATTGTGGTCATCCTTTGCAACAGATTGGCTTTGATTTGTGAAATGAGGTGGAGGATGATGGCGGAGGGAGGAAACAGAGTGGACGTTGAAGGAGATGGGAGAATTATGTATCGAAGTCTCTTTCCTCCATAAAGGAATGTGATTGATTTGGGGTCGGTTGAGCAGGTGCCCTCTTTATTAATACGCTTTTGAAAATCACGTAGACATACATTTTGAGAGAGCGACGAATGCCTTCCTCATTGAGTAGAGCATCCTATACAGTTTAAATTACTTGTCTTTTGTTGTTTTACTTATAATGCGCTTTAATGACCTAACAGTATGAGGGCGAGAATTCCTTTTTAACGCCGTTACTTGATGACCTCGTAAACTAATAAATAAGCCCGGACTTTCACACACTTTCACGTTCATCGTGAACTTTCGTTTGTCAAATAAATACATTATGAAAATAGCAGGAGAAGTTTTACTGGCACCAGGAGCCTCACTGCGTTCTTGAAGCCCTGATAAATCTTTATTTTTCTGAAGCATAATTTAATGAATATAGCAATTAGCTTTGCATTGTTGGCTATCAGAGACATAAGAAACAACAAATTATATATATTTTATGGATAATTTTGTCGTGTATGTATGCGCATTTAGTAATTTGGTTTTATAGGCCTTCATGATGTTGCGCTTTACATAAGTGCAAACCATTGTATTTCAAATTGATTTTTAGTGGTCATAATCCATACAACAATGCTTTTTACTTTATAAGTTTCGTAATTTTCTGTATATGATATTTAAATTAGTAAAGAATTGTTTTCATGCACTTCAGAGAGACGCACACGTTTATAATTTCAAGGCTTGTCCTATTGCTGGCTGATGGGTTCTTTACAGTTTTTTATTAAGCTTACTATTTATTTATCGTAACGTGCGAACCCTCGGAATAAAAATGGAGCTTGAGAATATTGTTGCTAACACTGTCTACATAAAGGCGAAAGAGAGTGTGTCACTGTCTATTTGATTATTTTCTTTAGGTGGAACAAATAAGGATAAAGGTCGAAGTAAAAAGTGGAGAGATATTTTGGCTTTTCCTCACATAAGCATAGCAAGGAGGACTCTTCGAACACTGGGTAGCCTACATTTTCTCTGACATTGCAGATGTTTCTTACAATTATATTGTTCTACAACAGCCGATTGGGAGGAAGCTGTTCTGGTGTTACTGCCATTCAAAGCCGGCATTGAAGAATCTAATTGAGTTTCTAGACCTCGCTGTAAACTAAATAACATGTTGATTTTGGATTAGGACGTTTATGAGGTTAATCTCGGGGAATCAGGTCACGAAATTGCTTCTCAGATAGCTGAAAAATACCTGCGTCGTGAGGTAACCACTGTATGCTCTACTATTATTAATCTCAGGCTAACTGCAAAATTAAGCACTTTCCTACTGAATGCACAAACGATGTTATGGATCGCATTACTAATCTTTCCATATCGGAGAGCCCCCCTCGAGGATTATTTACCGATCTGGTCAAGTAACTTCCTTTTTCAATGTTTTTCTTTTAGTCTGGCTGAATCTTGGCTTAGATTCACGGTTTTTTTCGCGTTTACTAAAACTATGTATTTTGACCGTTACCTGCAATGGAAATGGCTCGAGATGTAAGCATCCGCATCTGTTGCACGTTATTGTGCTAGTGCCATCTAATTATCTTTATTGGTCTCACTTCATAAGATTGATGTTATTGTCTTTAGGCAACCTGTCACGAAGGGAACATTTCGTATGTACCGAGTGCTAGGTAAAGGTGGTTTTGGAGAGGTGTGCGCCTGTCAGGTCAGGGCAACAGGAAAGCTCTATGCCTGTAAGAAGTTGGAGAAAAAGCGGATTAAAAAACGACATGGAGAGCAATTAGCCTATGCCGAGAAGAAGATTCTTCAGAAAGTGAATTCGCGTTTTGTTGTAAGTTGTTGATCAATGTTTGGTTTGAATCTGCCTCAGTTGTCTAAACGCTTTGATAATTTTAAACTTAAAGCTGCTTGGATCCTTTACCTGTGATCTGACACCTTGTATGGAGTAATGTGTTCGCGTATGCAACACTTTTATTGACGTTCTGCCCTAATTGTGTTACATATTCTTGAATGCCTTATTTGGTCTCCCGTCAAGGCGTCTTTTTCGATTGAGAAGTGTCATAGGAAGCTGGTTAGTTAAAGTTTTCCTTTGTGAAATTGTTGAAGATGTATTTCTACCAAGGTATTTTCATATTCTCCTCTACGGTGACAAATTTTAAGGAGTTTGCTGTTTTTTATGTGTTTCTTATGTAGCATTTTTTTTCTGGAATCTCTGCAACGCGTCTTAAATGTAGATGTGGAGTTGCCGCTTTTTTACTCCATACTACCAATTGCATGGACTATTATGTTAAAATGTTAAGTCATGGTTGGCTTAGACGGGATACTGAAAATGCCGAGTCGAACGTTTTGACCAAGCGTGCGTCAATTTCGTCCTTCTGTTACTGTTTTTTGAACCATTGAGTGTAGTGAGATTGCTGAAATTTAGTAATCGCAGTTTATAATACCTTTAAATTGTGCCCACTTCCGGCGCAGTGAGGTAGCGCCGATGACCAAATTTTATCCTCAAGTAGCAATACTCCATAAAATACATTTTTAAACTTGCTATTAAATTGGGCGGATCCCTACGTTAACCTTATTTTTTAATATGATTGAATCCATTTGGTCGTTTTTTACCATCCAGTTTCGTTTGAATTTGTTTCTGCAGGCATCCAATGCATTTCTCTGATTACGGTTCCTTCTTTCCACACCCAGTTACTGGACTGGCTGATTATTTACCGTTTCTTTTATTCTCTCCACTTTTAAGCCAACATGGGCAGATGTTTCGTGCTCTGGCAGGTGTGTTTGGGGTGTAAATTAATCACCACTATTGCCCCTAGAATACCACTTCCTCGTCTCTCGTTATTTTTATGTGAATAAATCGGGATGTTTCGTTTTTATTTCCTCACTTGATTTTATGCAAATAGGATTCACCTCTGCGAATTGTTGGTTTGCTTTCATGAAATGGAACCTGACTACTACACTCATTTTGATTGCTTGGTTCATTCTCAAAAGGTAGCTTTTATGTTGTTAATATCAAAACAGTGGTAAAATTTTGCTACTTGTCAATCGTGAGCATTTGATAGTCATGCATGTGGTGTTTTCGAACTTTCTCGAGGACAAAGCAGGAGGTAGTACTTGAACAGAATGTGTAATCATCAGATAACAGGACTTGGATCTTTTGGTATGTCCAGGTGGCTGCCTCGCTTGGCGAGTGGCTTTTTTACTGAAAGCGAGAGTTAAGCAATCAGAAGATTATGGTACCAGATGGTAAGCTGTTCAAAAAAGCACCTACCGATTGCGGTAACAGTGGACACCTTCCAGTGAGTTTTGAAGCCACTGTTTGACTTCATGTCTCTTACTTGTTGGGTATTTTCCTTTGTGAGTAGCATGATCGAAGAAGACTTGTGATAACACTTTTCAAGTGGTCTCTGGAAAATGAAAACAAAAACCTGTTGCATTTGAGTGTATGGAGAATAGTGAATCGTTCTAGGCGCGTCGACTAAGGGGTAGATGTACTCCTCTCTTCTGCTATTTTTTGGCTAAAGCTGTGTTGCCTCATCTTCTGATGCGATGGAACTGGTGAGTTCCTTTTGGCTTTGCGTTGCCTTTCACATTTATCGTGAACCATTCGTGGCGTTCCTATCTCGCATGGGCAAACACACACGCTAATGTGGCTTTACTGATTCTCTGGACCCACATTAAATGCTACGAGGAATCGACTGGCGACGCTTTGCCAACTTAGGGGCGTGATCTCCTCTGCCCTGCACGTTAGCTTTGCATGCCCTTTAATTAAAACTTGTAACTTCTGTTGACCTTGTTTGACACCGTTAGGTGCATTACTGGGAGAAAACTTTTTAGCCGTTGGTCACTTTTTGCGGTAGAGGAGACAAAGATGTTTTTATATGATTATTTAAGAGTATGATAAAACCGCATATTGCCGTTTTTAGAGCGCCTAGAACCTTGCGTTTTATTGTTCCTATCCAAGGCTAGCATTTAGTTAATGTGGCAGAGATCACAGCATAAACGCATTAAACAAACAATGTCGTGTTATTCCAGCGCATTATCTTACCGCACGCTTATCTTTGGACGTTTCCATTCGCCGGCCTTTATTTACCCAACCTGTTTCCCCTCTGCCCATTTTCTGTCCGACCAGATGTTTCGCTAGCCACAATACAACCTTTTCAGTTGTAATAAATTGCTACCGCAGTAATGTTAAGCTTGACTAGATGACCTTGAAGGTTACTTCTTTTGCATGATCAGTGGGGATTTCTCCTTCCTCTCTCGTCAAGTTCGCTTACGTAGACTTGCGATAGTCCTGTACTTTGATTTTCAAGCTGCATTTCTACATCCATTCGACAAAGCTCCTCGCAAAAACTTTTCTTTACACTGGTTTGCGTCCGAACTTACCTTTGATATTATTCCTACAAAGTGGTTCCGCCGTATTTGCATAGTGTTAGGATGAGAATGGGGCTGAAAACAAGTTCTCTGCGCTCTCACCCACTTTAGACATGCTTTTTGTCAAAAGAAAAAAAAAGCACATCCGCTAACACAGAAGTGGAGGGCGTTTTTGGTGCTGATTCAACAGCACTAAAACCAAAGCGTCCGTTTAGCACGCTTTCGTGCCTAACTTTTGAGAACTTAGCCAACGTTTAAATCACTTATTTCTTGGTCTCCCATTCCTCACCTTCCTCTTTTCTGCTTCTCCTTAGTTGTGGGAAACTCAAAGTAAGTGAACATTTCGATTCACTAACAGTAAGCTTGGGTATGGTCTGTGTAATTTTTCTTCCTCTACATGTATACCTCGCACTTTTCTGAACCTCTATTGAAGTGGCTGTTTTTTGTTAAGTCTCGATGCCTCCCTCTGAAGTCCCTGTCTTATTATGACTCCATGGCATGGCTTCAGACCGCCTTGTGCTTGCTCTGTGTGACACTAAATCGAGCAGATGTTACAATTCCACATGGGCTTGATGTTGCCAGCATTCTTGCGTCCGCATCTGGTCACTTGTGAGGTTTTCACATCACGTAAAAGGCGGGGAAATAACACCACGCTCTTCACGATTATACTTTAAATTACACAGATTCCTGTCATGCATGGTCAGTCATTCCCACCGTTTGGCTGGTACAGCCCCTCATGCTCTCTCATCACCATTTGCAGCCTTCCTCCCAAAAACAGTGTTTTTTGTTCACTAGGAAAAAAAATTTACCAAAGTCTTGGGACTGCATTTTCTTGCTTTGCTAATGATATTTAGATTGCCCATTTGCCAAGCGATACTAATGGTAAGAGTATCCATCATTGCTAACCGCTTCCTTATTTAGACTTGGCTCGCACTTGGTGCTGTTAAGTTTTCTCCTATAACCTGCTTCTTTCTCTGCTTTTGTTAAATATCTTGCCTTTTTGCCATTACTGTTTATTTGCCCCCTTTTTCGGTGGCTAGGTTGTTCTGGACCTATCTCTCCAAAGTTATTATTTATTATTTTTCCACTGCTTAGGCCTCCTCAGCATCTCAACTCATCGGCTCATCCAACATTTTAAAACTTACATTGGGGCCTTAAAAGGGAATGTCTTTACTCCATTATGCGATTTTCACTTACGTAGGTGAGCCTGGCTTACACCTTTGAGACGAAGGATGCGCTGTGCCTTGTGTTGACCATCATGAACGGAGGTGACCTTAAGTTTCACATCCACAATATGGGCATCACAGCGGGCTTCTCCGAGAGTCGAGCGCGCTTCTACGCTGCTGAAATTACTTTGGGGTTGGAGCACCTCCACTCGCTGCGCATCGTCTACCGTGACCTCAAACCCGAGAACATTCTCATTGACGATCAAGGTGAGTTGGCATTGTGAGCTCTTTTTCGTTCTTCCCAAAACTGTCTTTTCGCCTTCGCTTGTCTCAGCACTTCTTGTGCAGCAATCTCCTTTCAGTATTTTTCTATCCAAATGATAATTTTGGCTTTCGCCAAGGGCATACTGGGATAAGGAATTCTGTCGTTTTCCTTTCACCCTCAGAAACCTGTCTTCCAGAGTTGATGTCGCTCGAACGATATCATGGAGCACTTCCCTGATAGGAATGCATAATTTACGACTTTTTATTCCCTGTGAACGGTTCTGATTCTTGCCACATTTCTTATTGCCCTTTTCTCCCTGATGCTGCTCCCTTGACATCACCTTTTTTGTATCATACCCACAAATTATTTATATCGAAGACCTGCCCTTTCATGCCACACCCAAAGTGGTGGACTATTGTAAGCGCGCTTTGAAGAAGAAAATATTTCTGGCTACTGTGGCTATGCTTGCAGGTGTATGCCTTCCACTTTTCTCCGTTCAATTGCCGCTAGTCGAATCTTTTAAACACCTTGCTGGACGTCTGGACCTACCAGACCGTTTACTGGTGATTGCCGCACATCAGCAGTTAATCAGACATACGAGTGTGCAGTTTGTAGCTTATGCACTGGTTGCCAGAATGTACAATACCATACTTCTGTGGCCTGTTGCAATCTCCTATTGGCTCCTGGTAGTAGTAATTGCTCCTTTTCACTGCTCTTGGTGCGAGGACCACAAAGTGGGTAGCTTTGGAATCCAAACCTCAATCGCATCTGGCTATGATAATGTTTAGGCAATAACAGAACGCATCCAGTCCAACAGAAACCTAAAGGACTGACAACTTATTGTTTCCCTTTATTCTACATTCCTTCCCAGATTGGTGTCACAGTTATATTAAGGGATCTAGCACTGCAGACTGGTTTGATAATGTAAAGTTGGTCCTCATCAATCACTATCTATGCATTGTGTGTCCTAAAAGTGAACAGCCGATTCAGCGTCGATTTGCTGGTACGGAGGCGGTATTTTTCCACCTTCATGATGAATAAACCACGATTTCAGTGAATGCGTCAAGTATCACGCGGCAGAATGGATGGACCTAGCATTGGTACTATCCTTTTGCATGCAATTTACATTACTGAATATGAAATCAGATCTCTAAACTTCATGTCGCGCTGACAAGGAAGTTTTGTGCCTCCCAGAAACCTGTAGTTGCGTCCATTTCGTGTTTGCTTGCATTACTATCCTGCCTGGATGGATCGCATTTGAGTGTGTTTAGATTCACTCTCGGATTGCTTGAGGTGAGTTTTCAATGACTGGTGCAATAAAGTATGCGCTACCTGTGTCTCTTAACCATCTTTTGAATCTCGACATTAATTACCGCTTGAGGGACATAGTATGGCATTGCAGCCCAGACTTACATCCATTGGAATTTATAGGCTAGTCCATTGAAGAATACAAAGGACTGGGTGGATTTGTGAGTGTTCCCTTCTACTTATGCACACTTGGGGGTGTGTGTGCCACTGTCGTTGGAGGTAGTCCATTAGGGGATGCGAAATACGATCATTCACTAATGCATGGCTTTTAAAATGGCGATGCTCAATTGATTGGCGTAGCGCATCCAGACAACCGTCTCCTTTGCCGCCGTGTGCATGAATCTGTGCATGCTTACACTTCTATGAATGCCTTGAGTGCTAACTACGCGAAAGAAGCATGTGTAACTTAGGCGTCAATACTTCATTTTACTTATCACTTAGTGATGCGTTTGTGCAAGTTACTGACCTCCAGAATTTCATCGACTCAAATAGTTGTTATGAGCTCTATGCACTTAAATACCGCTTCATAAATGGGATGGTATATCAAGAAATGGTGTCGGAGGCCTGTGGAAGTGAAAGGGCTGGGTAGTTAAGCTAGCTTCATTACACTGACATCGCTGGATGGGAGTTTTGTTGATAATAAAGGTAGATTTGAAGTTTTGAGGATCAGAGGTAAGTTCATCGTTGGATAAGATGTTGGAATTTTTTGGTCTACAATGAGAGGATCGACATACCTGGGTACGATACTTTTCACTTACCATCGCTAGTGTTACAGTCTAGGTAGCATCACCCTTCACGATTTTTCGGTTCATATATACGTTATATCTCACTTGGGTGGGAAAGTGCCTTGCTATTGACTATGTAGGACTATTTTACATGCAAAATTATAGATAGAGACGATGAACAGATTTCCTGTGAGTCCAATAGTTTTGGAATTTCACCTCTTTTCTTGTAGGTCACCTTCGGATCTCGGACCTCGGTCTGGCGGTAGAGATCAACCCTCACACCTCTCTCAAGGGTCGAGTGGGCACTGCAGGCTACATGGGTAAGGGTGTTCCTGATCGCATTATACTTTAAAGATGTGACTAAAAGTGGAATTTATTTTGCTCTCTTGCGAGTTCCGGCCTGCCACTTTATGTTTCTGTTTTTATACTGTATAGTTTCCTGTTTCATCAGTTCGGAAGTCTACAATTTGTTTAATATACTGTTCCTATGAGTTTAAATATTTCACTGTCACTAGGCCATTAATTAGCTCATTTGGCAAGAATTGACACCAACTTGCCACATATCACCCTGGGGACTAACTTAGCCTTTATTATGATTCATCAGGATCTTAAAAAGCCATCAACCCATAATTAATCTCCTAAAATGCGTTCCAATTTATCTTCACAAATCATTGCTAGCTTTACTAGTCCAGTTGGAACTTTCCTAAGGGTCCAATTAATGAGTCACTTTTCCAGACGTCCTCATTGAATCATGTGGAAGGAATGGGACCACTTACTCGTTATTTACGTAATTGTTCCATGATGGGGGTGTGGCAACACAAAATGTAGTGATTGCCGGGGTGCGGGTAAAAATAGTGTTGACACGATGACCACCTCCACATCAGGCACAACAAGTTTACACTAAACGGCACTACAACCATTGTTGAAAGGAATGTGTGGATACTGATGTGAACTAGGTCGTCTCCGTGCTGAATTTCCACTTTACCATCAAAAATACATAATGAAAATATATAATAAAATATGTTATGCAACATATGATATATAGCAATAATAATAATAATAAGTAAATCCCCCTTTCATTGTGGTTCCACCCTTGCGGCGCTTGTAGTCCCGATTGTATAAGTGCAAGGTTTGGTCCACAGAACAATCCTCTCTTGGATTTCATAAGGCTTGTTGCCTAATATTCTTCAATGTGGTTTTGAGAAATAAAGGAAACTCTGTTGTCAACATTTCCCTCCTCCCTCGCTTGTTCGGTAACGCAACTCCCTGATTGTAACAGCTACACGGGGCCACAATTGTAGTGGGCTCCATTGCGATCGCGCTTCATGGAACCCAACGCCAGTGTGTCACTGATGGTCTAGGATACCACCGTTGTTTCTGTTAGATCGGCATACCCGACAGCGATCCCACTGGTCGCTTTCCATCCGTGAGCATAACTTCCTGTTTGGAACAAAGGTAACATAAACGTTTGAGGGTGGAAGAAGTGTACTAATTTCTCTCAAAGTACGTTGCGCCTAAATTGGTCGAGATGCTGCTAAAGCGCTCAGCTAAGTGTGAGCCACTTCAACATTCCACTGCTTTCAAGTGGGATGCCTTCTACCACACTTTTTCTGTTATTTTTGGTCATCGTTATTGTTCATTCAGCTCTGACCATTATCGTGAACCGGAAATAGCTTTAGTTGCTCAAATAATTTATTTTGGAACACCGAAGTGCATCCTGTCATCTGATACGGATGAACTTTTTGAGCGCGTTTACTTGTTTCTAAACAAAGAGCACGTAATGCAACCCTCTTCATTCCCAGCGTCCCATTTCGTTTGCCCAACTTTATGACTCTTTTTATGTTATTTTCCGTCATTTGGTAAATGTCTGGCTTTAAGTCTTTCCGCCCATTCTTGGAAATTCCAACTTCAGCCCACTTCCGTACTTTGGACATGCGCAGTATCCCGTTCTTTGTTTGGAGTTTACTGGAGGGTGGAACGGATCTTTCCTTTTTTCAGTTCTCTTCGTTGGCAGTGCTCCAGTTCGGAGAACGTGCACGCCTTTGTTGCCGGTCTTGGCCGTCTTAACTCAGGCCAACTTTTTCAACCAATTTCGGCCCCTTTTCACTACCTAAGTTTTTATCAGTCAGAAAAGAGATTTTGCATAATCAGCTCTCCGTGCATAAGTACTGCCATCAATTTACTTTGTATGTGTATAAGGCGATGTCTCTGCCTCCATTTTAGCTTTCGCATTCTTATACCGAGGTCGTCCGTCTGCGTTTATATAGGTAAATTTAAAGAGCGATTCGCCCACTGATTGTCCACACTGACAATTTTCCACCTTACTCCGTGCATCCTCCTCGTTTGCCCACAGAGGATAGGGCAACAATCTTGGTCGTCGTTTGATGTGTAACACTCTTAGCGTGTCGCATGCAAGTTGACACGGCTCCAAGAGCGCTGTGTCATTTGTACTTTGACGTTATAGCAGACACACCCTCTAAATTGAAGGAGTTATTTAAGACTAATATTGCAAATTCTGGTGCTATACCTGTGTCTACTCAGCCTCTCGGCGTCAAATATGCTCTTCTACGATTTTGACTTTAAAATGCTTCAAGGTTTGATTAACTGTTGTGTGGATTGGGGTGTATTGTAATAGTGGATGTTGCTTTTTGACTTCTACAGGCTATGGTCTTCCTGTGCTCTGACTGAAGCCTCCTAACTATTGGAGGAGCTGATTTTGAGACTCCATTCGAAAATAACATGTGTGCTTTGATTCATCTCAAATACCTCCTCTCACTCCCTACCATTTCCACTCCCCTTATTAGAATCCGTTTCCCAGCCGCATTTCTCTCTTCCATCCTCATCGTATATCGTCTCTAAATTCACACCCTCCTCCTCCCCATAGATAATTCTTCCTCACGTGTTTCGAGTGTTGTCCACATTCGGATTTCTTGATTTATTCACCACCTGCATGCTATTTTTCCTTCCATTTTAAATGCTTACCTCCTTCCACTGCGACAAGTTTGTATTTTATCTTTGTTAATCACTATTCTCTTCTGTTTGCTTCAATTTTTAACTTCCATCAACGCTGTTCAGACCTGGTAGTTCAGTCAGAACTCTTGACCTCATACATCTTGTCTTATCGTTGCAGCTTTGAAATGATTGTGGTTGTATTTTGCCTTCTTCACAAGATGGCGCCTTAGAACTGTAGTATCTCTCAGTTACTTGGTTACCTGCTCAAGTAACTCAAATTCATTTGCCACGACTTATGACAAATGCGTCGGTGTTGCTCTTCAAAGCATTGTTCCAGGTATCTGCGCTTCCCTAAACGCCATCTCAAGTTAAACACTTCGGCATGACTTACTATGTTGGATTTCATTAAGGAGAAAAGATTGCTCCAAATTGTTACCATAAAAGGTCCTGCTTGCGCTCCTCTCAAACGTCGCTATGAAATACGTTGATAGAAAGTGCTAGTAGAGCAAAAGTAAATGGAATTTCATTCAACAATATGGTATCTTAAGAACCGGCATTTTCTCGTTTTAACCTAATCAAACCCTTTACACGATTTTAAGTTACACCTGAAGTTTAAACCGAATATATCCGATTCACTCTGGCGAATTTCTCTTCTAGTGTACGGGCGTAATTGCAAAAGACCTCAGTTATTGCAATACGTCCCATTTATGTACTCCATTTAGGACCATACCTCCAAGTTATTAAGCCGCTTGATAGTGTGGAGCATCACAGACATTCATTGGCAAAAACATGCTATGATTAAAAGTTTGTGGTGCAATTCATTTCAGCTCCAGAAGTGATTCGGGGTGAACGCTACACTTTCAGCCCCGATTGGTTTGGTCTTGGTTGTATCGTCTACGAGATGATAATGGGACAACCGCCCTTTCGCAAGCGACGGGAACGCCTCAAACGCGAGGAAATCGATAGGCGGGTCTGTGAGGACGCCGAGGCCTACAACCAACGCTTTAGTGATGTCGTCCGCGATTTCACCTCCTCTGTACGTCATCAAATTCCTCTCTTGTCGTTTGTTCTGCGAATGGTTTGTGCATAAGTTTTTGAGGAGCCTTGTACAACTGCTTGAGAAAGTCGAGCTTTTGCAGTTGAAGAAGGTCAGAATAAAAGTTGTACATCTAGTGTTGGTGATCGAAACACCAAAATTACTGAAAACTGTGGATCAATTTTCGTGCATTAGCCAATTCTCCCAGAATGGGCCTCGGCAGAAACCAAGTAGCCTAAGTTTTATGACTGTTTTATGACGGAGCTCAGCGATAGTGAATTGTCATTTGTTCCGGCAATTAGTGCCAAGAAAGAAGGGAATACTTCTGCAATTTGCCCTTTTGACACTTGTCGAACTGTCTTACAGATATCCGTAACTATAACATTTGAAAGTGAGGGACTGGGCAAAGTTCTGCTAGAAAATCATGCGAGCGTTTTTGGTTTTTCATCCGTTTGATGTGCCCCTCGATGCTACTATTTTTTGTTTCTGTGGCCCTTTTGATGTCTTTTGGCCTTTCTCAAAAGCAAAAGAAGGCATTCCGGACATTCGAGAGGGCTGGGTGGTCCAGGGATCAAGCTGCCTAAAAGAGGTCAGTTGCGGCAGTCCTATAAGCCTGTTACAAAAACTGGGGGTTAAGCAAACAACTAATCGACTATATAGCTCCTCTTTTTTGAGCGTTGTCCTTGTCTCTCGTAGGATAGCCTCTCCTGTTAGCCATCGTAGCGCGATGAGTGTTGCAATGAAACGCATCCACGAGCCGGTTGCATCAGTCATCGGAGTTGTATGCAACTAAATAAATGCTTTGATCGTCAAGCCACTTGTTCCCCTCAGTAGCTAGCCGAATTTAGAGTTTGAAACCTCCATTGTTCTAATAATGTAAGTTTACTAGCTCCAAAGTCGTGATGTTGTTTGATTTTCGAGTCTCCTCCCACCGATTAAAATGTGGTCCAACGTGTAGGAGGGTATCAGTGTGTGTGTGGGTGAGCGAGCAGCGCTGTTTTCCATGTTTCGTGGGTAGTGGAGTCGATCTCCACGCCGCAAGTGTTATTAATTCACAGCCCTCTGATCCGTCTTCAACCCGCAAGTGGGTGTTAGCACGATTCACATTTTCATGCAAAAAACACATTTTCAAAAGTGAGAGGTACCATAATGTTTATGCGAGGAGGCTTTGTGATTCGTACAGAAAATAGTACAGATTCTGAATAATTAGTTGAGTTCTCTGTGGGTGTCCAACAGGTTTAATTTGATAACCAAAAACCCTGATGGTAGTTCAGTGATGCGATGGAACAGGTGTGCCGATGCACAATGCTGTTGTGCGCAGCGGAATCCAGCCACAACAACATCGTGCATTCATATAGTGGAGGAGTAATGGATTTTAGCTTTCCAGGTACTTTTGCTCTCCTTTTATCCCATTCTCCTGACTTGTTGATGCCTGGCCGGTCTGAACTGCCGGCATCCACCATTATGAGTAGTGGTGATGCATTTGTTAGGAATTTTAGTGTTGAGTTGTTTTGTTTGATGCGAGGTATGAACTTCGGGGCTGTGATGTTTGGACATGCATGGATATCTGCAAAATACACCAACTGGACGTTATTTTTCTATAGATCCTGTTTCATTCCAGACCAGCTTCAAGCATTTTTAATAAAGTCGCTGAAATGTTGTCCCATAAGCTCTGCCATTCGGTACACATCTTACGCTGTGTAGCCGTCTGGACAGGGCTAAAGAATAAATCAAATGTGACAACATAATATGCCAATGCCGTCAGTTGGTGGTGCTGTTCACATACCGTGCCAACACATTGGTGATGAGTTTTTACTATTCCTCCCCATTCAAATAGCCGAGATAAAAGCTACTGCAAGTAGCATTTTATTGGTCGGACAATACACATACATGTGTGGGTGGGTGGCTGAATGGGGCTATGTGTGAGAGCCCGAGTCATTCTTCCCACTTATGCTCGCGCTTGCAACTGCCTGCCCTTGATCTCCGTTTTCGCGCCTCGACCCTTGGCTATGCTATACCCACCCCTAATGTCCCATTGTGTCATCGTTCAACTCTCGTCAATGCATTCCAAACATTAGCTGCACTCTTCGATCGCGTCACTCCTTTTCGAATCTCTTTTTTTCCTAGGTCCATATTAAAAGAATCGCTTTAAAGTTGTGACTTACAATTAATGAGTTCACTCATGATAATACGAAACGCTTGTGGCTAGTTCTTGGGAAGTATAGAGTGGAGGATCGTAATAAAACCGAATTTAAATTCATTACGTAGACTTACAATAATATCGCATTAACTCAATACTCATGAATTTTCTTGACTAGGATCGGTAAATGCAAAGGCTTTTACCTAAGTTGAATGCGGTTGCCATTTGTCACGTGCCATTCAATTTATGTGTATGTGTGTGTGTGTGCTTCATCTCCTCGATTACAGCTTCTGCAGAAGGACAAGACCCTCCGGCTGGGCTGTGATGAACGGGGAGCAAGCGGTGTGAAGGCGCATCCCTGGTTTCAAGGTACAAATTGGAAACGCCTTGAAGCTGGCCTTGTCGAACCTCCTTTCACTCCCGATGTAAGTTTTGAAGTGAACTAAAAGATCGGGCAATGTGCTCCTTTCTCTTTGCCTTTGTGAATTGTTGCCGTTGTGTGGGTTGGAGGAATAAAGATTGTGTGAGATTTTGCCTCGTGCGCAGTCCTGTTTTGGAAATAATATTTTTCCTCCCTCTGTTAGCTGCAAAAACTGTCAGTTCTGTTCAAGTTTATCTCCATCTGATCGGAGAGATACTCCCCCATTTAGTGGATACCCATGTCACATCAAAATCGTAAACGATGATTCCCTTTTCCCTTATGCTCTTGTGGCAGTTATCCCGCCAGAAGTACGAACAGTGGTTTGGTCTTGTGATTACGAGACTGCCTTTAAGTATGAAGTTCGAGCGAAAGAATTTTGACGTGATAAAAATCACTTTCAGAGCAATCACTTTTCTCTCCGTTTGGATCGGCAGAGTTGATTAGTCTAATGCGGATGCGCACCGCCCATTGGCAAGATAAATTTCGAACTAATCTCCTCATTTTCTCCCTAGAGTTGTGTTTCGATCATTGATGTGATGAATCGTCGTTAATAGCTCCCTTCAATCCGTTTTGTTTGTCAAGTGCTGCACACCCCCTCCCGCAGTTCCACTGCATCAACTGTTCGGAGTGTTTCCCTCCTAATGGCATTGTTTCTGTTTGGATATAATAGGTGCTGTCATGTAGGTCTACATTAATCCATGGGGTTGCTTTTAAATCTTTAACCACTTATTCAAAAGGGCTTTTGGGTACCACTAAGAGTTGTTTTCTATTTTCCTACACTGTGTATAAAATTCTCCCTTAAAGACAAATGAAGACATGGTAGTCGGAAACGGTATGTGTTCTAAATGAGCAAAAAGGTCTGGGGACTAGACCACCAGGTCTGAGCATCGTTTTCGGCGCTCTACTTGGTCAACTTCCGACGTGGGCTGTTGAAACGGAGTTAGTGATGTAAGGAGGGTCAGCTACGAGGCAGTCATCCTTCCAAATCAGAAGCCAATTGAACACAGCGTAACTGATTCTTGTTAATTTTACTCGATTTACAGTCTTCCACTTGAAGAATGTGCTGACCATTATGCATGTTCCAAAAGATGAGCCTCTTAACAAAGAACGGTACTTACATGTACCCATCCATGGTTTATCCAACTGGAGGGAAGTAAAGAAGCCGTTGGATGCTTATTCGATCAACATCTCCATGCTGTAGCGGTGCTAGTGGACCGGAGCAGGTTCCAAAGTTGAAGCACACTTTTTGACTTCCTGCCTGAGGCTTCTACAGATTTTCTCATCCGCTTCTCTTCACTCCGGGTCTTATTATTCGGCAAAGAAAATCAGGGATGCTTTTCTCATCCTACCAACATAATTGAAAGGTGGTTTTGATTATTATTCACACGAAATCACAAGTAGCAGGAGTGATATTTGACATTTAGTCATCTACAAATAACATGTCATTCAATGTTATGACATAGGCCCTCAGGTCATGGGTAATACATTTAAATGTCGCTGCTTTCCCCAATCCTCCCACATCCCAGAGTAGCCTGCAGTACACGCGTTCGGTACCGGGCGTCCCAACTCATCCGGCTTTGAGCTCCTCCTCATCAGATGACTGTCCATTCTCTTGCAGTGCTACCTTTTTGCCATTTCTCAGTACACCGAACGGCCATCTCGACTCGTGCATTGATGCCGTGCCAAGCATTTTGCCTAGTTAAGTTTTTTTTGAGGGGTACAGTGATGCGTGTAGCCAATGCACGACATCCCGCCTTATTAAATCCGCCTTCAAAAGTACACTCAGATGAAATGGAATTTTAACTCTACGACCTTCGGTCGTTTTGAATGTCTCGGCACTTTGCCTTACTGCATGCATACTTGGGTGTAACTGAAATTCTCGTCTTTGTCAGATGTTTTTAAATGTCAAATCGGGTAGAAGTGTTTAAACAGTCGCACTTTACTACCTCCTTGTTCTTATTCCTTATTGAAGAGATTTGCTTTTACGGGTTTTGTTTGATGCACCGCTTTTGCCTAGTTGGAGGCTACCAGCCCTCCTAATTGCTCGCTTTGCAATCTGCTTGTTGCAAAGGTCACTTCGTTGTCTTACTGACACCTAGTGCCATCTTCTCCATTCATGATACTTGCGTTTTAATTTCAGCCTCATGCTGTTTATGCCAAGGATGTTCTCGACATAGAGCAGTTTTCGACGGTCAAAGGTGTGAAAATTGAGGCAGAGGACATCAACTTCTATCGAAAGTTCTGCTCCGGTGCCGTCTCCATACCTTGGCAGCAGGAGGTGGGTTCGTGTCCTCTGGTAAAGGCCTTGAATTATGGAATCTGTTAAGCTCACCTTTTCCCACATTGTAACAAAAATGGCATCCTAGCTGTATGCCTAAGGTGGTTAATGCTGCTACGAGGTTTCACCATTTTCACCATATTCCACAACAATCATCTCAATACCTTTCTATGTCTTTACTAAAACGCTGGAAGAAATGATCCGTGAAAGGAAATAAACTAATCCCGTCTTCAACACAAGATTTCTCACTTTACGTTAATCGCGCCACCTCAGTCGTATGGAGCTGCTTTGCACTTTCCAGATGATAGAGACGGAGTGTTTCGATGATCTTAACGTCTTCTGCAACCCCGACGGCAGTTTGGTGGCCAATTTGAACGATCAAATGCCCCCATTGGACGAGAACTCGACTAGTTCTTCGTGCTGCTTCCACTTCTCGGCCAGTAATAGTGCTGGTAGTGGTGGGGTTGGGGAGCGCAAGTCGCGTGCACACAGTCGTTCTGGCCGTCGTAGCACCGCAGATCCTAATAACGCCACTGAGGGTCCTCTCATGGACCCCACACCTCTTCCTCCCACCTCCGCAGTGGTGGTTGCGGACCCTCTCGAGGGCGTTGGACCGCCACTTGACGAGGTTATCATCTCCCACGACGGCTCTGGCGAGGCTCTTCTCGATCTTGCTGTTCAGCGAACCAAAGCTCTTGCCTCTCACCTTAAGGTTCCAGATTCGCCTCTCAGGCGAAATGTGATCTCTTCTCCTTCCTCCTCTCCCTCCTCCTCTTCTTCCTCCGCCGCCTCCTCCGCCTCCGCCGCCTCCTCCTCCTCCTGAGCCGAAAACTTTCCGCGCATCCGTGCTCATTGCTCTTTGTCTCCTTCATGATAACCAGATTGCCCATTTAGGCCTTCCTCTCTTCCATTCGGATTACCCCTCACCTTAAATAGGTGATCGGAGGACTGGCGCCCAAGGGACCGACCTGTAAAATAGGCCCACCACGTTTACTCGCCTTCTGATTGTGTATAGTTCTTTACCTCACCGATTCCGACATCCAACTTTGTATAAATCTGTATGCATTTTTTCTCAGTGTCCGCTTGTGCGCGCGTGTTTGTGTCGTGTACTTTCATTTGACCTGTTGACAAACCCCACTTTGGCATTCACTCGTCCCTACCCCCATCTCGTTCCTTCATGAATCAACTTTCACCCTCCTCCTTCTCTATAGCACGAATGTTGTTGCATTTACCGACACAATCTATTTTACCAGAGTGACCTTTCAAGAGGTTTCAAAATATACACCTTCCGTTCTAATAAATGGCAGTGATAGATGTGATGTCAATTAGTTTTACTTTCATTCGTTTAGAACAAGTGCCACTCCATGGTCTTCTATTTGCAGTTTTTGCATGGTAAGACAGCCGTGCGACCTCGTTGCAGTTCTCTTTGGCATTCATGCACTCCACACTTCGTGAAGGTGAAAAATGCAATTTATTCAACGAACCCTCATGACTCATTGACATGCTGACAGGACATGGCAGCATGTCCCAAAATTAGTTTGGAGACTTTGGTGATGTCACGTCTGTTTTGTCAAGAACTGAGTCTATTTCCGAGTCATTCGTGCTCTCAGGTCGCCTTTGTCCTCCGCATTTTGTCAAAAGTCAAATTCACATGATGGTACATTCTCTTCACCCTTACGGGCAAGTTATTTGACAGTGTTTTCATTCTCTGAAAGGTGCCACGAAATTGACTACCCATGCAGTATGTAAGAAGGCTTTTCGCATCTTCTGTATCCTCATAGCTAAGCTGGTCATCGTGAATGCTGCGTTATAATTGTCAAGGCTCAGGCTCGGAAAATTTTGCGCAAAAGTGCATTCGGAGGTATGAATTTAGAGGTCCTTTATAAGGCTTATTATTGCAGTTTACTTCAGGTCCCGCACCATCCACCAGTTCTGCAAATTGGGCCGGCTTATACCGAGAGCCCATCTACAACTTTCCAAAAGATCAGGTGCAGGAGGGAGGGGAGGAAGGCCTCTTAAGCGACGGTCACCTTTAAGGTCATGCCTAAGGTACTTTATAGGCAGCTCGGCGGAATGAAGATGCACAATTCGTAAATAGAACGTTGAACCGAGGATGCGAGTGCTACCACTACCTATCCCACTGACTGCGAGATCACAACAATTTCCACTTGATCTAACTTCACTGGCCTCGTGGTGGCGTTACAGTCAGCGGGAGGGCTGGTGGAGCGTTTCCTGTCCCATATACGTATGATGGCAGAGGGAGAGGAGGAGGTTGTATTCTCACACAAAATTAATTTACTCTAACAGATCCTTGTCATTCACTCCTAGAAGCTCTTACGGCGGCAAGAATCCACCCGAGGTTTCCGGTTTGCCTGAATGTGGTGAAGTAACGAAAGAAACGTTTTTTGCAACAATTTGCAAGCAGCATGGCCATCGTGTACCTTCAGACAGCAGTTACGCCCATTTTTTTAACCATAAATTGAATTATGTTTCCTGATGGACAATTAGGAGAAGAGAGAGAAAGTGATGGGGTCGTTTGTAATGCCTTCTTCCCAGTGAATTTCACAGTAGTGAAGGGGAGCTGTTTGTACCATCATTGTGCTGATAATTTACTTCCAATAAAACAATTGGCATCAAGAATGAATGAAAGGAGTCAAATTATGTGCATCATTTTAAGCAAGAAAATGGAGGCAATAGGTGGGTGGGGGCAGGGGGTGGAGCCGAGGCAATGGATAACTTAGCATAGTAGGCAAGACAAGGTTACTAAAATGTGCAAAATCGCTGGGCCCACAGTTCGTATATTTGCGCATGCAGAATTCTCATAATGTTGGCAGGGCGGGTTTGTTTATGTTTGCCTTCCTCCTTGTAGTGGAACTGTGGTGGGTAGTTAGAACTCTCTGTCGAGAGGGCCCTCGACATCGGAAGAACACTTCTCCACTGCCAGTGTATTTTAAGGATGGAAAGGTAGAGAAGCTGAAGGTCAGTTAAGGTCTCACTGCTTAATTCATTACCGAAACAGAAGGTGAGCAGTGATTTTTGCATCGTCAATGCTAACGTTTTCAGTAGATTCCTCTCCATAATGGTCTTGATGATGGAGTTATTGTTTTATGCATCCTATTCGGACGGAATAACGCTTATTACATTACCTGCAGTTGGTTTTTTGAGTACTGCTTCTTCAGGCGATATTGTGCCAATTTTCCGAGACTCGGTCAATTGTTTCGGGTTCAAGGAAGGGAGATGGTCTGAGGTTGCTTATTTTCCGCTTCAAAACCTCCTTAAACTGCCTTAGTCATTATGACAGTTTTAAAATCGTATAAATCGGCGATTGGGAGCTGCTTGTGCGGATGCTTAGTTGGTAGAATGTGCTATCCAAGAGACCGCAGATCAGGTGCGCTGACCAAAAGGCCTTGACAACCTTAAGCTTTGCGACGACTTTGGGCGGTGAGGTCCGCGTTTATTTGCAGCCTACCTTCCCTGCACTACCATCAAATGGCATAGAGATTATTGAAGGGAGGTGGGATTCACTGCCGAACTGGGAATATGGCAGCTATGACTATGGAGGAGGATGCTTTCCATGGTCGAAGGAGGAGGTAGGATCGACTATGAGTAGGTCACGTCATGCAGCGTCGTCAGATGTACTTCTCACTGTAATGAAAGCGAGTTTCAAGGGTTTTTTTGTGTCGTCCACGCGCTAATAAACGGGGCCTTGCAAAAGAGACTTCTTGTATGGCTGAGTTTAGAACAAAAGTCATGGAAAGCAAGGTTTATTGTCGATGATGACCAGAATGGCCTAATTTTCGATCTTCTACTTCATCTTCAGTCAGCTTAACCGGAATTTGGAGTAGTTGCTGATACCCCCAGATGGTTGTATGAGCCACTTATTTTTTACGTGCTACCATAAGAAGTAGAAGCAATGAATCGAGACTAGTGTTTGCTGACAAGCGGTGAGACCAATAAAATTAAATGTTCAGGCGTACCGCGTTCGCAAAATTCAATGCGCATCATTGTGATTGTCGAGCTCAGAATGGGTGGATTCAAAACAGTCAAGTCCTGATAATCGTCACTGATGGAAGTCCAAAAGTCAATTGAAGAAGTTATAAACTGAGAATGTTCACTATTGTTACGGCAATAAAAGTAACTTACATTTTTGTGAACCACTATATTTTGTTGAATTTTACTTCAAATGACCCAGTAATCCAGTTTTGACTGCTTCCAAATGCTGCAAGTAGGATTTTGGACCTAATCTGACAAGGTACGTACTCTAACGCATTATTTAAGATTTTTCTTTACTTTGTTTACTGGTAAGTTTGTGGGTCCGGTGCTCCTCCTCTCTTGGATGATACACATTTCGATTATCATCATAATACTTTCAAGAGACTGTATTCACATTACGTAGATGGGTAATAATATCAATTAGAGCACCGTAGCGAACATGGCGATTTCATCGCCACCAGGCTAACGCACTACTGATGCAAAACGAACATTAAAAATCTTCCAAGTTAGGGACAGGAAGATACCTAGTGGTGCCTATGTTTCAATTAAATGTTGGGTTTAATTTCGACACAGTTACAGCCGCAATTCGACAATAGGTTTTGGTCAAAGACCGAGCATCACTGGGACCTTACCCCCTTACTCTTCTACCTTTCCAACTATTCCAAGATCGTGTAAATGTTGCAGCACGATCGGCCTACTTGATCCCAGAGGAAAGCTATACAACCTACCCAAACTTTTTAAAGGATGCCAGGGACCTGTAAATATTGGTTGGACGCATCTCTGTGAACATTAGAAAGATGTTGTAGGGTGGTTTATAGGGACTGTTTTATTTGGGGTAGTATGGGGGTCTTTGGTAAATGTGCTACTCTAATCCTACGAGTTTAAGGGTAGCATCACAATTGAGGGGCTTATTAGGTGAACTGCTACAACATGTCAAAATAAAAAATCAAAACTATAGCACAAATAAATTATCCACTATCCAAAAATGTAGTTCCACAGCTAAAAATTAAAAGTTGACATTTAATTTAAAACTAGTGTTACAAGAATTAACATAAAGAACGGAGTGTTTGCGCTAAAAATAAACTAGGAAAGGGTATTGTTTTATTTCACTACGGTACTGCGCTACAGTTAAAATTAAACAACCACCAATGAATCAATCAAATAAGGTATCGTCAACCCTTCTGCTCATTCTTGTCACGCTCTTAGGGCATGTTGCATGTTCGGAAACCTCCTAATGGACTCGATCGAAGCCATCGGTACTTTTGTTATGTGTGCGGCACGCTTCTTCCTCACAAAATTGCATCTGATGACTCCCTTGTATGTAGAAAGTGCTTAACGCCCACCTACCTATCATGGTTTGTTGGTATGACGGTGGCTTTTGACTCTGAAGGCGCCTCGGACTGCAATGTTTCCAGCCTGCAGTCATCGCCCTACTTCCAAAAGTTGCTTGCCGCTGCACGGAAAACTCTCAGATCGGAGGAGGCATTGAGAGAAGCTGGTGTTTGTTTCGAGGAAAGTGCCTTTGATGGTCCCTCTGTGAAGAGAGATTGCTATTACTGTGGTAATAACCGAATGACTTATGTTACTATGCAAACGCGTTCTGCGGATGAGGGTCAAACTGTAATTTACACATGCACGCAGTGTAAGAAGAAAGAAGTTGAACACACTTAATTTATGCATCTCGATTCGATGGTTCGGTCTTGGGTCGAGCTGCAGATGGTCTTGATCGATCAAAGGTCTTGTAGGATTCCTTCTCGTGGGACAGATACACACCTTTTGACGTTCGTTCACTTTGGTACTCTATATTCATTCAAATACAGTTTTTGTGTTATTTATCCCTGCTTTGAAGGCGTGATTTGGAGTCGATACCTTAAAGTTACATCGAATTTTCAGTACATAGATTGTGTTTGTTGGCTGTCTTTTTATGTAGATTTTCTGAGGTGCTGGGACCTTCACCATTGTTGCCTCCTTCAAGTTTTGTCTATTTCCAGTTTAGCAGCAGTGGGTGTTGCTATCGGCGTTGGTTTTCATTGCTTACTCTCCCTCAAATAACCATGGTTACGCTCACTTCTCATTATGTCTTGGGATTATTGAATCTTCTCGAGTTGGCTGCAAGCCAAGAGCGCCTTCGCATCGCAGTGGCAACCAATGGGGTATAGAAGCGATTGCATGCGTGGGTCACGTGGTCAGCGTTTTGACATGTTAGCCAATCAAAAGTCAGTCTAAAATAATCTATTTAATAGACCCTCTCGACATGGCTTATCGTGTATTAAATGCACCAACATCATAGGAAGCATTGTTTCTTGCTTTGCTGTGAAGGCGGATGCGTTCGTTTGGGAACTGTTTTGTCGAGGCTTAGACATGTGACCATGAGCAGAATGGTTTTCTCTTATTTTGGAGGACACATTAATTCAGTTTGGCATAGTAGTTTGACCACACTTTTAATGCGGCCAGCCACCGGAGGCGAGTGAGTTTCGAATATAAGTTGTTGGACCTGTTTGCGTCCTTCCGCGACAGTTTTGCAAGTTGCCTCTATAGTGAGCTATGCGCTTATTTGATGCTAATTGTGAAACCGTATGGAACTGATTACTTCACCATCAGTGGCTCTGTGCTTTAAAGTTTGCATCCTCGAAGTTCCAGTCACTATTTTGGCGTCGGAAAGCGCAAGTGTTTACAGCCAATGTAGCCATTCAGGCATTATGTCTGTTTTACATCAATCCCTTCACCAATGAAATTTTTGCCTTGAAACATGTGGCTTTTTATTCCTTGACAAGCCAGTGCCATTCCATACTTATCATCTTAGCACAGGATACGTTCGTGTGTGATCGGAAAGGCAGTAGGGCGAATACGGAAAGAAGAAAACTGCACCAGAAAAGAGCAACAGCTAAATTCTGCAAATCGTTAGCAAGGCGAGCAAGCGACAACATCCTTAAGCGGACACGTGCCTTTGTCGTGTTTACCCCCATTCCTGCAACAGTTGCCCTCCACTAGACTACACGTCAGCATCGTTTCCTTTTCAGTCTACCCTTGCTAGACTGTTTTATAAACAACTAAGGCTGAGCTACTTTTGTGAACCTGATTTCTCAATTGGTCCATGAAGGTCTGTGTACAGCCGCAGTAACCACATGACGTGAACCAGTAGCGCAGGGTGTGAGAAAGACACCGAACAAATGCTCTGTGTAAGTATAAACACCGAGACCGGCATGACGACGCGGAGAAGCACTGCATCGTCCCAGAGGAATTGCCGATGCACGCCATTAGAAGTCCACAGACCGGATTTCTTCCTGAATGCATGAGAAAGCGAAATTCGCATGTTTTTATTACTAAGTAAGTAAGTATAATCCATGAGAACAAGAGACATGCTGATAAAAGATAAAGCATTAATTGGATCGTGAGAGAATGACATAACGACACGATTGACAGTGCAACTCGCAGGATGCTCGGAAGAGAGTAAATGTGATAAAACCGTTTTTTCGTGTTGGGGTGTTACATTAGAACGCATCTCTAAAATGAAAGAAAGGGAGGAAGTAAGGCTTTGCATTTTCAGTTACCTGAAGTAAAAACTCAATCTCAGTGCTGAGCAACAGAGCATGCGAACTACCTAGAAATTAAGGATGTAAAACTCATTTTAATGAGGGCCTAAGACTGGAAAAGGTATGGAACTGCTGTTCCCTATTTTGTAAATGCTAAACAGTGTGATGCATTGGAGGACATCCGCCATCCATTACACATCAGAGACTTGGAAAGTGGATATACTAGCAACAAGAAAGGGTTCATGAGATCAAGATGGGTTGTCAATATGATTGTGGTGATGACCTCTTCCGACGGTAGTGACGACTGTGAACGAGGATAGAATCGAGGATAGCGAACATGCTCTCGTGTAATTTGACAATTGGCTTGTTCCTAAAATGACAAAAGATGAGAAAATTAGTTTATACTTTCAGTACCACTACTTTTAGCTATCTAGTGGTTGCAGACACCAGCATAAGTGCAACCAGACTCCAGTTTGTGAGGTGTTTAAGGCCAGCTTTTTGGTGACTAGAAGCCCAGCCACATCCTTTCCTACTTTGGGTTGCCAGTCAGCTTAACACGCAATTATCCAGTGGTTTGAAGGTCGGAAGAATGCCAGGAGGGTGGAGGAATTGGAGCGATGGAACATACATGTAAGCCATGTGACATAAACACGAAAATGGGGAGGAACCCTTCTCATTTAGCGTGCCTCGCTAATGCGCAGCCCTTACCGAGCGTTTCCTTACCTCCTTGTCATTTCCAATCAGAGAAAAGCTGATGTTAGTGCCCATTTTGAAGGACTGATTCTTCATAACCAAATCTTTGGGAGGGTCATTAGTGGCACCTGAATCACTGTTCCATATCTACAACAAGTGTAGACAAACTTGACTTTTCGAGGAAAATAAAATTTTAAAGCAAGCGTCATGGTCAAGTGGACGACACAGTCACAAGACATGGTGTCGCCTCTTCACTCTCAGTCAGTTTGACACTTTATGTTCGCACAAATGAAGGCAAGATGATATCAACCAGAGGACGTTAGCAGTATATTTGGGGAAACAAAGGAATGCCCTCCCTTTCCCCCTCAAAAAAAAAAACATTTTACCTGACAACTGGCTCCAGGCTGAAGAATAAGTGAACGGGGAAATTTGAAGGTTACTTCGTGGCTGTCCGCCTTTTGCTTCAGCACCCAATTGCCTATGTTGGTTTCCTGTACGCGGGCAGCAAAAGGTTAGCGGTTAGCAACGATGGGAGGAAGAAAGAGGTAGCAAAAACGGGAACAATCGTGGGCACGAGGTACATTGCACGATAATGGCGAATACTACATGCTGAAGGAAATAATTCGCCGAACCCACGCCAACTTTATCACTACTTCCTCCATCGCATGAGAAGTTGGTGCCAAAGAAATAATAAAATGAGCATTTCAGTGAAGAAAAACACGCGGTTGAAGAGTAGGAAAAATACAGTTCCAAGACCATTTTGACATGCCTCGTCGGAGGAGTTTACAATTTTCACACATTTGCCCATTTCATTTTGGTCAGGAGCGAACTCGATGTTGCCGTTGGAGTTGGTAGCGACGCGGTAAGTGACCCGCGGCATGGAGCTACCAAGGGAGCTCGTGCTGGTGGAGTGGATGCCCTCGTCCTCCTCCTCTCCCTCCTCTTCGTCGTAGTCCACATTAAGTGGACGTCTGCGCTTTGCACCTGCCGCAACCGGACCCTCACGTGGACCACTCACTGGAATGTTGAGGCTAAAATGGGCAACAAGCGCCTGCACATTAGTTGAAATAGAGATGATGACCGCGTTGCTTGCCCAAAAGACCAGCAGATAACGTCGTCTTGCTATTCGTGACTCGCCTGTCATGAATCACTTCCGATGACTCAGTCGTCAGTCTGCTTCGACGAAATGTGGTTCTTTGAAAAGCCATTGATACTGCCAACACAATTGGCGTTAAGCTACTCTCACATTAGCATTTAGTTTGCTTCCACTCGTTCGTTTAAGGCATTGTAATTTTTAATGCAAATTATCTCAACCACCGTCGCTTCCATTTTCAAGCCATGGAAGGATCTTCGAGTTGCTAGTACAGATAGGCGCCCGCATACCTTAACAGTTGGTTTAAAAATAATGGCTACCAAAAGAACATTTGAAGGCACTGTTTACTATAGCGAAAAATTATCTAATTCATTGTTTGGAAGGAGAGAGAGGTGCCACCATATGATAGCTCCCGTTGTCGTTGGTATTCCTCAGTGGACTTTGAGGTTTGTGTAAACATATGATTTGCTCTGATCTCCAAACCATGGTTACAGAGATTGTGAGGGAACGCTAAGTCCAATTCATGTGTGCTGGCATCAGTCATTGTCTGGACCATGGCTAGCACAAAAGTTAATCCCCCAACTTAACGGTCATGCATAATATTCGGTTTAGTTGTGAGTGGAATCACTGTCTTGACAGGAAGCTTTGCACAGATACGCACATCGAATTGGCACCACAAGTCTCGTAAAATTCGCAATTTCTTGCCATGAATCAACGTCACCACTGCGTATAAACGGCGCGGTTGCAGAACTATTAGACGCCCTTTTTGAGGCATCGAACAGGCTTGAACAAGTAAATTATTTGATACACGTTGAATGCTGAATGCCATGGTAGCCTTACACGTCTTTTGCATGCTTGATGGTAGAGGCTTAGAAAGCCTAGTTCTTCTATTTTACACCTTAGGGTCATTGTACTAAAATTACCATCTCTGATGGAGCGAAATTAGGTCAATTGCTTCACTAGAGTTGTCAAGTGCTTGTTTATGCTTTAAATATCCGTCGCTTTACCTTCAAGTTACTCTAGTCCACATGTTTACCCTTAGATGCAAAAACCATACAAACGTTTTTGAAGTAGTGGAAAACACGTACCGCGTCTCTTCACCCTCAAGCATCTTGCGATACATCAGAATCTCCTGATCCAACGCCACCTTAGTGTTCATGAGATCAGCAAACTCAGCGAAATGGATCTCCAGTTCACGTTGGAGACGTGCCAGCTCCTCGCGTTGGAGCGCAAGGCGCTTCTCGTAGTCATCGCGCTCGTGACGACGCATGCGCTCCAGTTCATCAACACGCCGTTTCAAGAGATCTACTTCGGCGACTTTTTTGCCTAATTCGTGCTCCAAATCGTCGCTGCGTTTACGCACCACCAGGAGCTCATCACGCAGACGATCTGTTTCTTTTGAGGCATCACTGTTGGCTGCTCGCAGTTGATTTAACTTATTCTAAGAGCAGATATTTAACAGAAGTTCCAACAGAGTTCACTATTTCCACCAACTCACTGTTGGTTTAACATACTCATTATTGGGGTGCATTTCCATTTCCAAGCATGACGATATAAAAGACCCAAATTGGAAACCAAATATTTGGTCTTATTAACATTTAATCATGTGAAAGGTCCTAAACCCAAATGAATTTCATCAGATCCGCCATGTCATACAACTGACCTCAAAAGTGTGCTCCATTTCAGTCTTGTAGGCCAACAAATCCTCCGCCGTTTGATCCCGATAGGCCTGAAGTTGGTCATACAGTTTAGACTCGTACTCTGCTGCCTTCCTATCTTCGATTTCACTCTCCACTGTGATAGTCCTCTCCACTGCCTTCAACCGTTCCTCTTCCAGTAGGCGATTTTTAAAGTTCAACTCTTCTCTTAGTCCTGCCAACTTGTTCTCAAGATCATTTCTAAGCACCGTTTCTGCGTCAAGGTCACGCCGCAAAGCTGTGCATCTCTTCTCTAGTGCATCGTAATCAGGCTTAAGTGCCTCGTAACGGTCGTGATCCTGCTTGTAGGCGGTGAGATCCCTCTCTAAACCTTCAACACGGCGCTGTAGTCCACGCACTTCCGACTCTCGTTTGCCCAGTTTTGATTGAGCTGTCTTTGCGTCGTCCTTGTGTTTCTCCGCCTCCACCTCCGCCACCGCTTTCTGCTTGGCTAAGTCGTCCACAAGGCGACGAAGTGAGGCAATCTCCGCCTCGTATGTATTCCGCGCATCATCATGCTTGCTCTTAAAAAAGTGTGAATAGAATGCTAACAGAGTCAATGCTTCTTTAAGGGAAATTTCTACCTTAGGCGAGACAGAAAGATTTTTAAAAAAAATCGGACTAATAGATGGCGTATTTCCAACCCTAGCTGAAGAATTATGCAGCACTTTTTGAATGACTGCCTTCTGTTCCGAAATTTAGCGCCTCTTAAGGGTTATGTTTGCTTTAAGCAAATGACTACTGCACATAATGTTAAAAGTGAGCAGAACAGAACTTGCAAACCAATGTCATTTAAATCGAAATAAATTAACCATTAACCAGCGCTCTTATGATTGAAGCGATTTATTGAAAATTGTATGCATTACAAAAAAAACTCACCAGACGTTCCTCTGAGTAAGTTTTAATTTTGCGCTTCAGATGCTCCTTATCCATCTCAAGTTTGCGAACATAATCGATATAGGAGGCAAGGCGGTCATTAAGCTCAGCCAACTCTTCCTTCTCTTCGTTACGAGAGATATTCAGTGGACTCACTGAACGCTGGCGTCGACGATCTCCTGATGGCGCAGAAGACGGAACAGTGACAGACGTGGTACGCCTAGCAGTGGTGATTGTCGACTCCGACCCTTGTTGTGACCTCTTGCTACGAGCAGACATTGCTGTGAAGATGAATGAAGAAATCAGCAAGCAAACACCATTTGAGATAGCAAGAGTTAGCCTGTGTAGAATACAAGGTAAATATGATTTAAGTCAATTAGAGTATGAACATAAAATTACTCTCAATAGGTGCGCACATTAAACGTAGTTCTTACAGGACAACATAAGTGCAAAAATTAGCAAACAAATACGATTATAACAAATGAACTACAATGGAAACTTATTTTAGAAATTCGCAGTCGGTCGACTTATAAAAAAGCAAAATGATCGACATATGTCGTCACTTGAGCTCCGTAACTACACAGTCTATTAAACAAAAATGTGACTAAGGTAGCAGAAAATACAGTGCAGAGACCAAGGAAATGAACTGACCAAACCAGTTAAAGATAAGGACAAGACCTTAAACGACATTAACTAAGCACAGTATTCCAACTCGATTATGGTTAAATCAGTGAAGTCGAGTGATTAACTTGTGATTCCCAGTCGATCACAGCGGCTCAAAATCATTAGCTCGATCCTAGCATTTCATTATGGTAGCACACGTTTTGCGCTAAAATTGTTCAAAAATTGTATATTTGCAGACAGGTAGCTAAAATTCTGACTGAACTTTTAGAGCACAAAGGATTCTAACTACATTAATGCAAGACACCCCGCATGTAAGCGCTAGATCACTTTCATAAAGCAGACAGCTTTTTAGGTCGTGAGCAAAGAGTACTTTATAAACTTAAACAAAATATCTTTATATTCAAAAACCAATCAAAAACAATGAAAGCAAAAATAAGACCCTTGAACAATTTTATTGCTATAAAATACTGCTACGTATATTTTTATTTCATTTATTTCATTTTTCATGTTATTATTTTGAATCTTTAATCAATGCAATTTAGCGCCTTATAGTATAAAGTTTTGCGGACTTACAGATTTTTTGTGATTACAACATTTGTACTTCTGTCTGCAGCTTTTCAATGCAGCGTACCTGCAGTGATTACATTTTTAGAAAAAGAGGAAAATGTGTTTTTGGCATCGTTCAAAAAACAAGACTGCGCAACACAGACGTTTCAGTCGTCTAATTTGCCTTCAATGGCATTTGTATCTCCACTTTTGACTGCCTTTGCTCATTTGACTTGATGTCTGTCGGTTGCTTTAATAGTTGTCTTAGGCTCGCATTCGGATCTAACTCAGAGCTAGTACCTTTATTCACTCTGTAATACACATACTCAGTTCTTTTTACCGCCTCCTTCTACCCTGCATGAAGTCTCGGACAGCTACACCGCGACTTCGCACTGGTTAGAAGAAGGCATTCAGTTGGACTGAATACACCTATTCGCGTAGGAGAAAGGACTGGGACTTCGCATGGTCCGAAGGGCAGTTCATGTGTTAATAGGTATGACCGATGCCAAAGCCTCGCCGTGCATACAGATTATGACGAAATTAAAGTATCACAGTGCCAACCACACTCCTGTTCAATGCTTCCCAGCCGCCTTAACCTTGACTTGAGCACTGATAAGTGCAAACTCACAAGTCAGCTGCGTCGCCCATCAGCTCCTATGCAACAGAAGTAGCGTACCCGACTCCAGCGTTTACGATCTGGCTTTACAACTCCAAATGGATTTGGAGCTTAGTTCAGCTTGAGAACACTTTTTAGAAACTACGACTTTGGCTGATCAGCGTGCGTCCGGAGCCGGGAGCTGGAAAAAAGTGACAAGACCCCCGTACGGTAGTATGTGACATCAGACATGGTCGGATAAGTTGCGCTCAGAGAGAATGAGAAGGACTGGCCCTTCGACCTGCGCCAAAAGCTGGTGCACTGGCTATCACCAGTCGTGCAAGTGAACGAATAAGCAAGGTGCTACAGTGGGATTTGTAACGGACTCACCAGAATAAGTAGTTTTGCAAATTCACATTGACAACATCTGCAAGGGGGTATGACAAGTGAGACCCTGAAGTCGAACTCTCCCAAACAGTTTGCACCAGGCGCCACTTGCCCTGTCAACAACTTCCATGTGGGAAGTCGGCATTCTTAGCCTTTCCGTTATGGAGGAATCGAGAATTTATATCCACTTAAGACACATACACATTATAGATAGCATAAGGCGTAGTACCTGGGTCAAATGCATACATTCAGGCAAAAGGAAATGAGACTGGAGCTTTTGGGACTGCCTGGGCATTCACCGAGTTACCTCGAATCAGACTTACACGACCCCTCATACATCACTCGCCGGACACTTGAAGACAACAAACGAAAGCAGGCTTCGAGACAATGCATTTATGTATAAATTGGAGTAGAATAGATGAGTAGTTAGAACAGCTAGTTAGTGAACACACAGGGCGGACGGTATACGAAGTGCTGCCAAAATTAAACAAAATTGTGCTCATGCACTCGCATTATTGCCATCAAAAGGTCGAAAAATTAAAAAATTGCGTTGCAAGAATGCGCTGCATTAATATAAACAGACAAGCGCTAAATGCAATGCGGATAAGGCAGATTAATCAAAGATCCAAGCAGGTTACATCAGAGAGCATTTCTACAAAAAAATAAACATCACCTTTAATGCATGCTTTCAAATCGATAATAATGCTTGGAAGAAAGACACGGAAGGCATTAAAATAAGTGATTGCCATCGAGTTTATGCACAGGATGTACAACTACCTCTTCCGACTTTGCGGCGCCAGCACGGAATCGTCTTGTAACTACCTTTGGTCTCGTGCACTCGCGAACAATCAAGCACGAGGCTTGCTCCTACAACGAGCAAATGAAGGCATTTGAATATGAGGGAAAGCAGCAAGACAAAGCCCATGTAGATAGCGAGAGAAACTAGCCTTTTCATCCTCACTGATGAGCGTTATGGTGATATTGGCCCCGGAATGGAAGACCTGATTTTTCATAACAACAGTTTCAGGAGGATTGGGAGTGACACCCGAATCGCTACTCCAAACCTGTCAGAGAAATTAAAATTACCTCCGGTCTCAAGAATCACTCTGATATGAGCAAAACAGATGTACTGACGCGCGTCACATCAATCATACCTACTGTCACCTTGACCCCAAAAAGAATCAACACATCACCAAAATGCACTTTAAGAAGGAAATACAGTGTGTCCTATGATATCCACGACATACGTCAAAAAAGTCAAGTAATTTATCCATAACCAAATTGGCAGTAAGCGTTGCCAGCAGAAAGCAACACGAATTAGTGATTGCCAGAATGAAATCAGCAGGACTTACAGTGCAAGTGGCGCCAGGTTTCAAGCTAAAAGCTCGACCAAATTTGTATACCACCTCCTCGCCATCAGCCTGATGTTTCAGAGCCCAATTGCCAATGTTAATGTCCTGCATAGAGCATTACAATGTACATGGTCACGGACATAAATCGTAGTTAGATGCAGAATGAGGAGGCTAGAGGTGAAGAGCTGGAAAGTGAATCGAGATTCACAGCCGTTCAAGCAGGAGTTAATAATTTTGAGAACTGTTGGCAAAATCCCATAGCCCAGGAGCTAACCTTCCAAAATATTGCCACATTAAAGTAAAACTAATTGTTTGAGGAGATTAAGACCCGCCAATACATCAGATTCAAAGCCTAATAAGGGTCAACAAATACACCAATGGAATCAGTAAAAAAATACTCACTTGCTTTGCGACGTTAATCAGCTTAATCCACTTTCCTGAGCCGTCTTGATCGGCTGTGAACTCGATGTCTCCAACAGCTGATGTCGACACACGGAATGCGAACTGAGACCCACAGGAACTCGAGTCGTCATCCAACTCGTCGCCGGAATCAAGCCGACGCCTCTTTACTCCCATATAAGTACCGCTGAATGGGCTGGTACGCTTCGGTGAAGTGAGATTTAGGCTGGAGGAAGTCGAAGCAGAATACGTAAGCGAAGTGTTCTAAGAAGTAATTACGTGATTTGCATTATCCCAACAAAGACCAGCATTAGTTGTATTCATTCGCCGGAAACCATGTTTTTGGGATTCTGTCTCTGCTACACAGAGATGCACACGAGGCCAGCCTTTCTGTGGTGGGCAAGGCCAGTTATCATTTTAGCAAGCGCTAAATGCAGGTGTCGAGGCCGAAACACGACCACCATCGTATGCTCAAGTGAAATGCAGGTAGGAGATACATTCATATAGCTGACGTGTGCACCAGTATTCTCATCACCTTCGACGTTGCCGATGCAGGCGACGCAGCCTGTCAGTACTGGTTCGAGAAACAAGCTGCATGAGATGCCCGCGCACGTCTACGTGGCGGGGCCGTATGAGTCATCCAGAAGCCATTTGCACGACCCCCTCCCCCAAAAAGACGGCAACCTAACTCTCGGGTAAGCCCGCAAGCGCACACACAAGGGCCTCCCTCGGTATGCTACTGTAACTGCGCCGTTTCAAAATGCATAGAAAGTGGCAGTAAACACTACACCAACTGACACTAAAACAAATACTTCTAGTGGCAAAGATTCAATACACATTGGGAAACATGGCAGATGCGGAGTTGACACGACGACGACAACCTTATCCAAGTTATTTAAACCATGGCAGTTCTAAGTAAGCAAAAGTAAAAACTATAATTAAGTGGAGCTCGCGTACCCATGAGGTAAAACAGATATCATGCATTAAAAAGGCGATTTACAAGTACACCTGCAAAGCATTGGAAGTCGAAACAACTCACCGTGACTCCTCACCCTCAAGCATTTTGCGGTACATGAGAATCTCCTGATCCAGAGCAATTTTTGTATTCATGAGGTCAGTGAACTCAGCAAACCTTTGCTCCAGCTCTGCTTTGAGCCGCTTAATTTCGTCCCGCTCAGCTGCAAGCTGAGCCTGATAGTCGTCATGGGCCTTGTTGAGGAGGCTCTCTAAGTCATGAACACGGTTCTGCAAAAGATCCACCTCGCGCGTCTTCTTGGCCAACTCATGACAGAGGTCATCACAGCGCCGACGCATAACCAGTAACTCGTCGTTCAGCCTCCCACTGTCTTTGTTAGCTTCCGCATTGGCCTGTTGTAGTTGCTCCAGTTTTGTCTGTACAAAACGTAAAAGAGTGCTTAATTTAACACTCAAAACAGCAAACCACGAAGGTTTAGGTACAATTTCGAAATTACATTAACAATATTTACCTGGAATGTTGTTTCCATCTGAATACGATACTGCTGCAGCTCATCATTAGTCTGCTGTCTATAAGCCTGAAGCTCATCAGCCAAACGCGACTCAAACTCCGCGGCTTTTCTGTCTTCAACCTCCTCTTCAACAGTGAGAGTTCGCATAACAAGCTTTGATCTTTCCTCCTGAAAGAGGCGATCCTTGAAGTCCAGTTCCTCCCGCAAACTAGCGACCTTATTCTCCAGATCTGTGCGCAAAACTGTCTCGGCTTCAAGACCTTTGCGCGTAGCCTCTAGCTTCTTTTCCACCTCGTCGTATTCAGGACGAAGCTGTTGATATCGATCATAATCCTGTTTGTACATAGCAACATCACGTTCGAGTGTGTCAACTTTGAGCTGAAGACTACGAACCTCTGCATCGCGCTTGCAAAGCTTTGCCTTTGCATCATTCATGTCATCAATATGCTTTTTAAGTTCTACTTCTTTTGCTGCTTTTTCCTTGGCTAAATCATCGACAAGACGTCGCAGTGATGCGATTTCTTTCTCATAGGTTTTTCTAGCCTCATCAACTTGAGAGAGACGCTCTTCAGAAATTGTAGAAATGCGGCGAGTCAAACACTCTTTGTCCCGTTCCAACTTGCGCACATAGTCTATGTAAGATGCAAGACGATCATTCAGATGAGCTAATTCCTCTTTTTCATCAACCCGGCTGATAGCGAGAGGGCTAGACGACCTATGCTCGGTGCATTCAGAAGCAGAGGTGCCGGTAGAAGATGTAGCTCGAGAATGATCTGCCTTTTTCGGCGTGGAAACCTTTTCAGACGTCGCTTGCAATTGTTTTGACTTCTTCGAGCGTGCAGACATGTTCTTGTAAAATTGGAGGTGAAAAAAGACCACCTAAATTACCATAAAGAGTGCATAAAATACGAAACAAGAGGTGCAACCATAGAAATTGCAAAACGGTTGCTGAGACAGTCAAATTAACAACCATAAAATCACCAGGTTCACGAATCGCCAACGAGCCACAAACTGAAAAGGCCCCAAATATAGAAATCAGATCCAAAGATAGATAGATAAGGATAAGATAGGATAGACAAGGATATCCAGTTGTATGAACTAATGTAGAAACTAATCCTAATTTTATCGTGAACTTAAGGGTAAACACAGATATTCTGTGAGTCTGTAAGATGAAAGGACAGAAGTCTAACACACGACAAACCAACACAGTAATAAGACAAACCCACGTTACCGAACGTACAACAAACGCAACACGCGATTCAAAGTATCAAAGTTGTTTAACTTAGCGCAGAACAATTCAAATCTTGTTTATTTATACAAAAAAGTCAATTTTTAGTTAGTCTAAGGGAGCAAACCACCAACATTATTAAAGGGAATTACTTAAATAGGTGTCACTTATAACGCCTACTTAGAATGAGGGCACTGGTCAGGATTAAAAACCGAACCAAACAAGTGCGTAACAATATACAGGATAGTAGTAGCACAAAATTCAACAAACTCTTATTTTTCAGAAATCATTATTATTGTCTCACCAAAGCAACCTGCGTACGAGCCCTCTACAGCAATCAATCATCCATTTATGATAGATTTACAATGATGTAGTGTATTTCGTGAATAGTTATTCCTTATTTCACTGTTTCGGTACATTAGCACAAACAATTGTGGGTCTTTTTGCTCTGTTTTGTCCACAATCGTGTTTGTTTTCTGGTGATCTCTTAATATGATGTTGAGCATTGTATTGTTTTCCTGGACCCCAAATATGTTGATGCACCGTTATTGGTGTTGGGGCGGCTTCTCTGATTTCATTTTCCTCGCGGGGATCCATGCCTAAGGATTCGCATGATGAGTATTATTCTCAGTTGGGAAGCTGGTTAGAAGGCGAAAAAAGTCGTTTAATCAATCGCCAGCATATCCTTGATAGAACTCTTTGTCAGTTCTGGTCTTCATTGGAAATGAACAATTTCGTCGTGAATAGTCAAACAGTACCAGCAGAATCAGGTTCTATGCAGTCGAGGTCTGCTTGTCTCCCACATAATTCATCCCAGAGGACTGATATCAGACGAAACGAGGCTCACTACAATGTCTGTAGGTAGTTGTGTAGCCCGTTTTGACTCTATTGCTTCCCAGCCGTGCAATGTAGACAGTGTCCCCATCCCTCCTATTGTCAGACTTCTCTTATGGTCGTTTTATCTTTCTGAACTGGTTGAATCAGCTCTAAAATCCCTCAGCTCTCCTGCTCTGTAGTTGTGTTGTCTGTCTATTAGCTCATAACGTTTCAGAGAATCCCAATGCACCCACTTGTTAGGAGTTAAAACTCGTTCGTAACTTCCAACCGATTTGGAGGATGCGTTGGTTCGCTCAAACTTCTATTTGTAGATGCACGCTTTCGACTGCCATCGCTCAAATCTCGTTTGATGGCAGAGATGATCGACGCTCTCATTATCTTCATCATCAAATTTTACCTTATTTATCTCATGGAGAAGTCCGATGACTTTCAGTAAGATCACTTGGTATTGCTTACCTATTAATAGTAAATTCACTAATTCCCTTCCACGGGAGATTCTTAACTTTATACCTGGCTATCGTATACTGATGACGTTTTGCTCAATGACACAAATCTACCTCGAAGTCATGCAAAACGACGGCATCTTCGACTTGAAACGTTTCCATGAGGAGGTAATGTTTGCTAGCCGGAATGATCCGTCTGCGCTGTCGGACGCCATCAGTCTCGTACTCTGCCTTATATTTGAGGTACTTTGAGCAAAGCGACACCTATTTACGTAAATTAAGGTCTATTTCGTAAGTAAATCAGTATTCGACTTCGAGCCCGGCGGTTGCTCCTTGGGGAAGTATTTGCTGGATCTTCGAGTGCTGTCCTGCAATCGCCGCATTAATCTGCCGGACGCGGTCGACATAATTCCCGCTGGCAACCCTGGCATCTGCAGGTACGGTTCCTTTGTTTGTACGAGAAGAGCTAGATCGAAGTTGTTTCACGATGAAATCATCATTTTAGGAGCGCGAAACCATGTATTTTCTTTCCTGCAGATCTATTATTAGAGCAATTTTGAAGAACTCCGGCATATCAATATGGTCCTCTCTGTTGCAAATAGCTCTCACTGGAGATCCTGTTTTCAGCTACGACCTCTTGGCGGGCACCATCGTCGTCCAGCTCCCCGAAATAGATCAACCAGAGTAAGAAAAAGACCTTATTCTTCCACGTGCAATAAGCCATTAACCACACAGAAAGGCAGACAGGGAAAAGTTCTTTTTTGAGCATACTAATGTGGAAAACATAAATAAAAGAATATATGCACAGAGGCTTCGTAGTTGTAAACGAGGGGTGGTTAGGGAGGAATGATTGGGATGTTAGCTGTAATAATAATAAGAGATCAAAAGACAGGGATCTTGTTCCTGGGGGTGTTGATTAGATCGTCGTCAAGAGTCATGATTGACTGAAAACAAGGCGAATGGAGGTTGTTAAACGTTAACTCGTAAATTTTACGGAAATTAGGTGGTGTCGACCTACCATGAAGGAGAAGAACATAGAAACGGAGGAGAGGAAATGCCAGACGTCATGAACATCATAAAAGCCGAGGAAGATACATGGCTGGTTCAAAGCGCGTGATTGGGCCGGAGTAACCTGTGTGCATTAATGAGTCTTGGAAATTCACATCAATCCATTTCACCGTACTAGATGTGGTAATGTTACGTGATTGTACGATTCAGGGGTAGGATTATTTACACGCCCCTCTTACCTCCCAGGTGGTCGAGTGTTGAAGGAAAAAGTAGATGCCGGAGCCCCACGCGATACATGCAAGGAGAATGTACAACACAGGGATGCAGTGGAATCGTTCCCGAAAGCGACACTAAGAAGGAGAGAGAATATGTACATGTTTAAAAGAAGCTAAGTGATGAGGACAAAGTTCTGCAATCAACTTAGGGCCGCGAGCTCGCATACCTTCATGATTACGTAGAAGAAATAGTACATCAGTAGGTTGATCAAGAAGATGGAGAGCAGAAAAGATGAGAAGTCTCTGGGTCGAGTGAACAATCCGAATACAGCTCTGAAAAGTTGGCGTTTTGAGGAGTAATTCACAATATATTCATTTGAGTTTGATAAGCTAAATTGTGTGTATTTGGACGGTCGAAGCATCGATATGCACAAATAAGACTACAGTCCAAGTTGGCTCCAAGTTACCCACTAACAGGTGAAAAGTGGGACTAGCTCAAAGGAACTCCAAATCAGTCACTTAAATCCTCCTTACACCCCCTCAACCTCTCCTTCAATATCCAGAAGGTGGTTGAAAACAATGGCAATTGCATATTACATTCCAATGTTGACACAGTTGGCAACGAGGAGAAGGACCATGCGTTCCATGTACATTGGCGTCAGGCAGTTAATTCCATCGGAACGCATAAGATTGTAGAGACGTCTCGGAAGGCATATGTCTGTTTTGGGTAAACAAAAAAAAAATCAACTAGCACGAAACTGGAGCCTAAAACATAGCTATACACATCTCTTTCTGATCCCTTAACAGCTTTGCGAAACCTCGGAGTTCACCTTATCTACACATGAATGAGGTGCATAAACAAAGTGGAGAGCAAGTGCCTTAAAAAACATTGGCGATGCTATGATGAGTGCAAACAAACATTTATGCAAGGAGACAGTGAATGGCAGATTACCAAAGTTCCACTGGCCCATGTAGTAAATTTCAGCCGTCAACCAAACGCTCATGGTCAGAAAGACAATGGTGAAAAGCACCCAAAAGGTCTCACCACCGTAGAGCTAAAAGGAAAAAGTCCGATTAGCGAGTAGACAGTGCACCGACAGCGGTCCAAGATGGAGATGAAAATATGCTGAGGGGCGAATGCACAATTGCCAAGAGTGTGTGCTCGTGAAGTGAATGGCTCACGCCCTAAACAACACGAGCGCACAAAATTAGGCATTCACTTCTCAAATAGGGAAATTGACGCCGGGATTTCTTTTTTTGGGGAGCCCTACTAAGACTGTTAAGCTGAGCATTTGTCACTTTAATCTTGAGAATGCCACCTAGACAGTTAATTTATGTACTCTAGAATCTGCAGCTTTTCATCAAAAGGGCTTTTATGGTGGCCTTGGGACGCTAACCGAAAACACCAACATGGTGGAATGGGAGGAGGAAAAGAGACCCAAATTTCACGCACCACGCCAGTAACACCAGCCAAAATGACCACAGCCATCACCATGTAGGCCGAGTGGGCCGAGGCGTTGATGTCGGGGTGGCGTGTCTGGTAGATCTTCAGCATCAGAATCAGAGCCAATATGTACATGTATGCGGTATCTAAAATAATGGAACAATGAGGAGGGAATGTACGACCTACTTGTGTCCTAACCTCATGACCTAATGGCTCTGACAATTCGCGTACTGAATGCTACCTTTTAAAAAATTTCTTATGCTTAGCAAAACCTTGTTCCCAGTCCGTCGTCCAAAAGCCCTGCAAGCCATAGAAAAGTTGTTTTGTCAAATGACTTAGGCGATTCAATTGGGAATTTTGGAGACTTGGTTGGTAAAGAGAGGACAAGGCACGTGACGGATTCACTGCCAATTCGAAAGTGGCAGTGGTCTTATCCACGTGAAGACAAATGTGAAGCATTACTTCATTCTAAGCAATCGCAGCCGAAAGTGTCAGCAAAGTTGACAACAGCTGCCATCATCAGCACAGCGAGCAGTTTAAAGCAAATTTACAAGGAAATAGGGTCTTTTGAATAGCTGAATCTTATTTGACGCGTGAAAGTGACCCCAACACTTCACATCGCTTGCAATTACTGCTTTGAGGTGAGCCATACCCACATACCATGGCGTTAGACGTAAACATTAACCAGCTTTCCTGTAATACTTACGTGTACTGGGTTTTGCTTCATGATTTGAGTGGTACAGATTGGCAATTTTCAGCCAAAAATAGCATAATCAACTCTTGACATTAAAAATGGCAACTTGGATAAGTACAAGCGGATGATGGCAGTGGGTGAGTGCCGCATAATTGCAATGTGTCAGTCGAATTTTCAGCTTCAGTAACAGACCGCTTAGAACCTCACTGTACTTCTTCCAAGCAGGCCTACCTCGGGAAAATGCCAGTATGCACCATACCTTACTATACATTAAACACATACGATCATTACGCCTTCCTTTCGTTTTTGGGAGTGTTAGGGAGCTGCAATCGTGAATATGGGAAGTAAATCCGGTTCTAAATGACGGCGGCACTGATTCCTGCTGCTGTACGACAAAACTGGACAAATCAGAAGTACACATACTGCGAGCAAAGCGTCCTGCAAAAATGCTATTTACGACTGGAACAACACAAGATGTGGCAATGATGTTCTACCTGAACACACAATACTCTCTTTCACCTCTTTACTGCCCAGATAGACCTCAGTTTGATAAACACGACTGGGCAGCAATGAGATGCAAAAAGAGCAAGTGGGAATAGACGCGATATACCACGGACACGAAACCATGCCAGATTCGTTAAATGAATAGCGCATGGACCTGCACAACAACCAGAATCTTCTTCTGTCCTCAAATCCAATCCCTGCACAACACAAAACTCCAGATCCAGTGGATTTGGCGGTATTGCTGACAAGCAACTCTTCAGCGGTAAGAACATACGCTGACTGGCATGGTTGGCTCGTAGTAGGTGTTCGCCCACAACACTGATTACGTTGTGATGGCTGAAATGGGGGATCGACCAAGGGAAGACGCTAAAAAAGAACAGCTACTTTATGCGTCAGCTGTTGGTTAAGCTTGCGATTTTGCCAAAAGTAGCGCCTGGATGGCATGACATTCTGCCCTGTTTCGGTCACCTATTGTCCGTTGCGAACACTAACTTCACCTGAGTGTCTCCTTTTCTCATCTCGACCGAAGTCTCAAAGTGTTAAACAATACCAAACGAAGGAAATGCATAAACATCATGTATTTTGTGTTAACTTGGTGTTGAATTTAGGCTGCAATAAAATGTATGCATGTTCCACAGTAAATACAAAGATAGACACTAGAATTGTTTTCAGTTGAATAACAAAAAAAAGCTTGACACTAATTTGTCAACACATGATTCCTTAAACGGTTCTGATCACGCAAGTGGACTTCAAAATAAGTTGAAAGAGCGGCTTTTTGGAGAACTCGTGACAGTTGCTCTTCGGATCAAATCCAACATTCTTGACGCAAGCCAAAGCAAAGAAGCCATAACAGTATAACAAAACACCAGAGGCACAATTCAATGCATCGATGGATACATAGTATCGTAATCCACTTACCAAACTGGAAGTTGGAGAAACTTGGACATATGTGATAGCAGGCACTGAGTAGCCCCTCCATAGTTAAGGCCAAGCCCATAGCGTAAAAGAGGCCATAATGCTGTGGTATTCCGTAGGCCTAAAAAAATCAACATAACAACGCTATGCTTTTGATAGGACTAACGAAGAGGAGAAGAGGATGTGTGAAGAATGTGGATGACCACGGTGATGACGACAAGCAGCAATACCGTTTCTCTCTCCCCCCCAGCATCATCCTCATCATTGCTCTGGTGGTCTTTCGGTGGTGCAATGGTGTCCACATTGGAGGGATGACTGTCAGGCGATTCAGATGTAAAGCCGAGACATCGGAGCGAATGAAGACAGGAACAGAGACGATGACCGCCAGAATGAGTTACGGTAACCATGGGGTCGGTGGAGGAGGGAACGGAGAGGACTGGGGAGGAGACGTACTCCTGTCCCTCATCCAGACCCCCAGCTATGTCGCTTACAGCGGAAGTGTTGCTGACGCCACTTCTACATGTTGTGTGGGAGCACAGCCACCGGCAAAACCGCTAGAATTACCGTTTTTTAAAAAGGGCGACCGTGCATATTAATTTGGCTATGCTACAAAGATACGGCAAGCCGAATGAAAGCAGCACATCGAACATGCAGCGTTCAATTTTCATTGAAAGTGGTACAGCAAATTAAAAACAAACAGACCTCCAAACACGAAAAGAAAGCAACCATCAACAGTTAAGATTAGCATTACTTAAATAGCTACGGACATTGAGATATCGCAAATCAAGCATAGGAATCATCCCAAGATGAAATTGATAAAAAAGTACAGGAGTAGAACAGCAGTGAGCGACGACAACGAAAGCGATAAGCACAAAGCTAAAAATCGTACAAGCATGCGTCTTTTTTACCGTGAATACATAGAGGTCCTGGATAGGATGAGAACAGTAAGTAGTGAGGGAACGGAGGAAGAGATGGGAATGAATGGGATGGGAAAACTCACTCGAGCGCAATGGAGCCCGAATTTCTTGGCACGACGATGCATGAGGTCCCTACAAGGAAGGAGGAAAAAAATGAAACTTCGGAATGCTTCCGTTCCCAGTACTATCAAAAACGGCTGTGGTTATTTTAATACCAATACTCTTCGTGAGCACCTAAAACCACTATTTTGGACAAAAACGAGGTATCTAGGGTAGCTCAAAGCACATCTGTAGAAAGTTAATGAGGCGCATGCAGCACCAACAAGTACTCTAACTTCACAGAAGATATCGTCGGTCAAAAGGAGGGAACATCAATCCATGATAAACAATTACAGAGTGAACACTTAATGACGGAATCGAAGGTAGAAATAATTCAACATACCGACGAGCGGTGAGTCCAAGAAAGAGTAGACCGAGCATCACGTATCCAATGTTGGAGATGATGTTGTTGAAAGCCGTGAACACGCCAAGAGGATGAGCACATTCAAAATTGTAGTAGCACATGTCCTCGTTACCGGTGTCATGCAAAGCCTGTAAAGCACACAAATGTCGAAGAAAAATATATAAACCCCGATGTGACAAGAAGAGTAATCACGCTGACGGGTTAACGTGATGTAGGAATCACAAGGAGCATAGTGGTGGAAATTCGTACTGCACAATTGTTTCGAACATTTTTTTATATCATCAATTCGTGAATTGAGAGCAATATGCAAAGCATTCATTCCAACCATAACCACTAGTTGGAACATTTAAGAATAGTGCGATACTCCTGCTCACATAAAACACGCAAAGCACCTTTGTAATTAAGGAACAGATGCAGTGTATGCATGTGAAACATATGCAATGAGCCACCTCAATGTTTTGGTTTCAATGCGATCAAGCATTTGAGGTCAAAGTCAAACGAATACAACTAACAATGACCCCGATACTAAAGACTGGGAAGCGAAAATAGACAACACAACTTGCATGATAATACAAAAATGAAGAAGTACAACAGAACGGACATTAGATGCGGCACTCACTCTCTGGTATGTCATGACCAGTTGGACCACGGGAAGGCCGTAGAAAATTGAAATTATGATAAGGTACCTAAAACCAAAATACGTAATCAGCCTTACTAAAAGGGATGTTTCATAATACGAGTCAACATGAACGCAAAATACAACAGAATCTGCAAACCAAAGGATTTGCCATACAAATAAATTCCTTAGCTTTTCAACCAAAGAACTCATTGACCAAGAAAACGACATTGTGTTCTTTGTAGAAACACCACGACCATTCGATAACAAAAACAACTCATCAATAGATTGGCAACCACATTCCAACAAAAAATTTCAAAACTGCAAAAAGGCGAATAAGCCTAATTTGCGTAGAACGCTAAGCAGGCAATTACGCTTCTTTGTCATGTAGAGTAAGCAACTACGGCAATAAGAAAGCAAGGATTCAAACATTCTGTCCACAGAAAGTGGGACAGAACTCACCAAAAGTAAAGGAGATACTTCCTGTCCAACGTTGAGTAGCGTTTACGCGCAAGATCTGACACGAAGAGAGTTCTCTAAAAAGGAGGGGAAAAAAAGGAGCACTACTACTAATACAATCAACATTTCTTAATAAAACTAAGACACTGATCTCTCCATGGGTATCCCGATGCTTACGCTATGTAAGTTGACGTGCCTGTACGTCCGCATGTCAGAGAGAGGGGTGATATCAATCTGAGGCTGAGGAGAAGTCGACGGAGCCTCCTCCGATTGCCTCGCCATCGGCCGTCCGCCACTACCACCGAGAGCTCCACGAATGTTACCAGTATGAACGTTACCACCCTCCAAAACACTACCAGAACCTGCGTCCAGACCAAGACTAATTCTTGAACAAGTGGAGCACCGCTCCACCCGACCTGGTGCCCCCCTCAGTGCCATGTCTCGTGTGCTTCCGTAGCTCATGCTGCGTCGATGATGTTGTTTTGTGCGCTGCAGCGGAGGTAGCGCAATATATGGTGGTCGTCGTACTTTTTTGGGCTTGCGTCGTGCAGCAGACTGGAGCCGAATGGAGTCAGCGTCAATATCGTTGAGGTCAGAAGACGAGGAGGAGCTGAAGAGGCTGTGAGACGGTGGCGGTGGTCTCTGATAAGACCCAGAGACAGCAGATGTTAAAGTGGAGATAGAGACCTGAGATACAGAAGCAAGTGAGGTGCTAGGACCGGCTACACGACGTGCACGAGTTGTGGCATCTTCAATGGGCAAATGAGCATAGGTCACTGACATAATTTGACTGTCGTAGTTTGTCTGGGGCGGAGGAGAGGCACTTGCCAAATTTCGTCTGTCAAAGTGAATGTTCAAACCTGCAAAAGAGTCTAAATAAATGATAGACTTTCTGTAATGCCACAATTCGTAGTAGCAAGACCATAATTACGGACAATGCCAGGCATCAAAGTAGTATAGTACTGCACCGTTGAACTTACTGAAGTAATACTGAACATGTTTGTCACTGGAAGTAAAAAGCAACGCAACTTTGATTAATATAGGCAAAAGCGGGAGTATGGTGACGCACATTTGCACTTACTAGGAACGGTAGACAAGTATAATAATTGCAGCGGCAATATAAAACATGAAATAAATCCCTATTGCTCCGAAGATCGGCAGGTAGTAATGATAACCTAAATGATCATAAAATATTTATAAGCGCAAATTCGAAAGCATGAACTGGCTTGATTATTCAATCAAAAGTAGTCATACCTGCAAGGATAGGAGTGACTGTTATTGTAACATTTTTTACTCGAGGAATAGAGCCATTCCCAGGTTTGATAACTGAATTTAAAAAGCGTGCTAAATATTTGTTGATCACTTTACAAGGTGTGCGGAAAATGCTTGTGCAAGTACTGCATGAAAAATATAGAACTAAGCTATGTACTAACCCGTAGCTGCACCACCACAATCAGCATCTTCAGGTTTCAGGACCAGCACAACCAAAAATTCCGTTACATTTTGTTCCACTTTCTGTATATGTTCATTGAAACATACTAAACGAAGACTTACACTGACAGTTATGGCTCCAAGAGTTGTGACAGTTTGGTAAACACCAGAATATTTAACAGTATCTAAGATATCAGCCACCGGACACTAGCATACGCAATAACGTAGTACCAAGACGTCATACCTTTGCAGGCTGAACAGACACGATCATACAGAGTTTGTCTGTCGAATGGATATGAACAACCACTGAGTCGATATCCCTTGGCAAAGAAAACAGAAAATATTGCGGTTCAGATGGAGAAACGAGCAACTGCTTCGTCTGATGCAGTCTAAGAGAAAGATTTAGTTAAATTTTAAATACTCACTGCAGAACAAAGTCGTGTAGTACATAAAGGTAAAGGTTATAAAAGGGCGCAAGAGACGCATTGGGCATAGAGCTTGAAAGCTCCACAATTATTTGTTCAGTGTTGTTATCGGGTGCATCCAATGCGATAAAAGATGGGCAAAGTGTCCGACTGACTGAATTGTATGAAAATCTATCGATAACTACCGAAATGAGAACATACCTATTATTTATCATCAAGGGAAGCGAAAAAGACAACACATTGGCCTGCTGCTTAAAAATCACAAGCAATGGATAAGCCTCATCGACGTTGACGGCGCTTATATTAACCCGAACTGCTACAGCCTGAATCCAGTCACTCTTTTAAATAAAAACTAGACAAACTGATTTGTTTCCGGTTAAATCATATGTGTAATTGTCGGGATGATGGAGATATACAGTCCCAGTGTAGTTTGTGGAAAAATCTGCGCAACTTGCGGAAGACGCCAATATTAAAATAAAAAACGTCACAAGCACACACAATAAATGCGAGCGTCCCATCAACCTCAACCAGTTACAATTAAACATTTTACCTAGCTAAACAACTGATGTCAATGCTAGATGAACAGATAAAACAAATTGTTAGTTTTTTTGTTTGCACTCTTTCAAGCATGCTGGACAAGCGGATTATGTATAAAATTTGAATACCCTTTAGAATTTAAGCATGGTTAGGATTTCCCGTTTCGAGATTTATCAGCATGGCTCAAATAAGTTGTTAGAACATAAAATAATTCGCGAAATCTAATAATAGTTTTAATAAACTAAAATGCTTTTTAAAATTCACGTTTCTGTACGGATCCAACTCTAATGCATTCACACTGTATCTTCACGGATGATCTAGAGTTTAACGCGAATCTCCGACTTGACCCAAGTTTTACTTCAACTGGCCGAAGTTAAACATACTGTGACGCCTTGAGACTACCCACAGGGTACAAGAAGGCGGCTTTTGGAGCTGAATACACGTACGCCAAGGAGGACAAAGTAATTAAGCCTGAGCATGATGCGAAGGCCAATCTACGCGTACGAGATTTTTACAGCTCTGAAGATGGCCGCCAAGCATCAGCTAGTCGCATGACCAACGTAGGAATTGCCTGCCTATGATTATGTCCTTGATACATGGACTCCAGGAGAGAGCTAGCGGCAGTCGATTTATTAGGCATTTGATACAGGAAGAATGGGGATAGGAGTATAGATGAGCCGAATAATCGATATCACCTGAGGACGGATTCCTCACGGTCCTCACGCACGGCATTCACGTTCAATTCGGTTCTCGCCTCTCTCCTATAAAGGTCAACATAAGCACTCCACTATATATTACAAACAAAGTATTACACTGATCCTCTCTTCTTTCGAGCAACGTCCTCGACGCTCTCCTAGAACACCTACCCCACGGAACATCACAACATATTCGGTATTGCAGAAAGGCACTTACAAGCCACCAGCGCCAGTCAACGGCCACCATGAAAATGAAGAACGTCAAATGGCCTCCTCAACTATCACAACTGGACCTAGAGTTACGTTCGGTCCGACAACCAGAATCGAGGCCACATAAATCTGTTGAATATTAAGTGCTTCCGGGACTAGACAGTGAAAGTGGTCCGAAACAGACTTACTACATAAAAAGAGGATCAGACAGTACCCCATATATAAGGAGAGCCATAGTTTCATATCCAACGCCTATACATGAATTTAGTTGGAAACATTTTAACTCGAAACCTTTCCATATGGTTCACTACGGTGTCGCTCCAGTTGCTGATAGCTTGTCTGCAGAATACGAGGGCAAGATGAAGACAAACGCGGATTCAGAGTTTGTCCCGCCACCGATGTAAATGCACTTCCTTCACACCATTGACACATGCAACAAACGGAACATACCACGATAAAAGTAGCTTAAAAAATGTCGGGTTCGCTTTCCGCTACCACCCGTGTAGACGTCTTGAGACTTCCCACGGGGTTGAAGAAGGCACTGAGCGGAGCTAAAATACATGCATTCCAGGGAGTGAACGAAGAAACAGGGTCTAAGCCAGTCCACCCGTACAGAGACTAGACGAGCCTTAATCTAATTGCCCGACATCAGGCGGTCACGCAAACAAAGCGAAATAAATTAAAGCGATAAAACTAATGGAGTCTGTCGCGTCCCGAGGCTTCCCACAGGGTGGAAGAAGGCAATAAGTGAGGCTGGATACATGTATTCTGAAGAGAACAGAGCGAATGGACGTGGACACGATCCAAAGGCCAGCCCACGAGCACAAGGGCCAGACAAATCCTAAGGTGACCGCCGGACGTAGGGTAGTCACATAAACAAAGCATTATAAAGTCATTTTCTAAGTTAAACCTTTAGTCCATTATCGTTTTTTTTGTAAATTAATCCTTTTATATTCATGAATTCTAAAGCATCATAGCCTCTAAATAGGGTCTGATTAGCCCTAACAGACCCAGAATTTGTCTTCGTATATATGAGGGAAAGGATAAATGTGTGCTTTGGAATAGTTTGAATATCAGTCCATATTATGGAAGTGATGTTTCCGACAAAGCCGCTACATTCATGCAGACAGTTTAACAAACAAAGTATTCTTGTCAGTTGCTTGCTTACAACTTTTGATTGCTCGCTGTTTTAGATCAAACTAAGTAGATAGCTGAATACCCGTAGTCCGTGTATTTACTGCCTGTCTACCCTCTGGTCCCAGGTTCTCAGACTTTAAGAGGAAGTTGGTTGCAGACGATTTATTAGGCATCGCTGTTAGGAAGGATGAGGAATAGGATACAGATAAGGTAAGAGATGTCAATCGTAGGGAGGCTCCTCGCCGACTTCACGCACGTGATCCACGTTCCCAATTGGTCCCCGCTCCTCACCTATCAAAGTCCAATTAAACAAGCTAGAATATATTACAGTCCGTTTCTTTTCTGAAAGCCATAAATCTAGGGTCAAGCTATTACCCTCCTAAACTGCTTTCTTCTTTTATTTTTAATCTGCCATGCTACTGTAAGTGAATACGAAATTAAACAAGTCTTCCAAGTTTTCTGTGTAGTCGAGGTCGAACAAGATACAACTGTTGAATAATCAACCAACACAGAGATCGATTAGAAATTCTTAGGCGTTGTTTTTAGTCATCGCATAGGAAATCATGTAGCTGAATAAAGAAATGACAAATCAAATAACACGAAAGGTTTTATCACTGTAAATCATTTAAGCGCCTCATCCTACGAATTTTTTGAGGCTTTCCCAACATTAACTCTATCCTCCGCAATTATGGTCAGTAGTTGATTCTCTTAATAAAAGACGAAGCCGACAGTTGATTCATTGGTGTATTGCTTCATAAAATCCATTTCCCACACCATGACGATTTCATGGCATCATCAGTATGGCGTCTGAGGCTTCAGATAGGGTGGAAGAAGGCATAAGTGAGGTTGAATGCATGTATTCCGAAGACGACAGGGCAAATGAGGTCTGAGTGT